TAATAATTATGAAACCGAATAACAAATCGGGGAAAAAGGTTTAAAAACCGTTCACCAGTAGTTATATGTTGAAACCGTAATATTTTAAATTTGAAATATACCTAGGTAGTTGTCAAGTGTTCATTTCAACTAAGACAAGTAAATACAGTAATTACAAAGTAATAATATAAATCGTTTGAAATTTTTGTTTGGGTGTAGGTACATATTATTATTGTTTTGATGCCGAAACATATTATCTATATTAAGTACTACAGTTTACAATAAAATAAATACAAAATTAAATAAATAAAAACGATGAAAACAACTTAGCTCGGATTATAATATTAGAATTGATTGTGTGTATTATACGACAGGTTGCGTTTTTTCTTTATAATTATTTACTTTTACATAAATAATTTAAATATGTATACATATTTATTTTATTGGGCACTGCTCTAACTGAGGGCCCAACTACGCGAAAAAAATATTTATATTAAATATTTAAAAATAATGATTATGTAAATGACTAATGTTGAAAATTGGTTAATGTCAAATTTTCGTTCATTAGATTAAATTGTGTGCTAATGGAGTTTAATTAGTTAAAGTTATTAAACTTAAAGGTAAAAATATTATATTTGTTTAAACGTTGGTTTTTTTTTCTCTGTTTTAATACTTAAACGAGACGGGAACGTATGAAATGTTACAATTTACAAATCTTTTTTATCGCTATCTCAATAATTAAAATATTGCAAAAAACACAAATACATACAATAATGGTCTTACCTTTAAGTTCAATGACGAGCTAATTCGCTCTACATATACTAAAATTTCACATCGTGAAATTGGATCTACTGAACGAAAAATTATCCGTAATATATATTATATTTTTTTTTATATTTTCGCTTAGGTAACCGCTTAAACGGTTTTTTTTTTTTCAAATTGTATATACATTATAATAAAGATAATTTTTGCACGCTTGACAAAAATTATGTATAGAGATAATAATAATAAGTTACAAGTAAACATGTAATAATATAGGTAAGTAAGTATATTATCGGCAATGGTGGTGTTGGTGATGGTGGTGGTGGTGGTAGCGGCGTACGCGCCTATAAAGACCACTTACCTGGCGAACGGTATTTTCCGATAATAATACGACACGAAACTGCCGATCGCGATGCGTACGTAGGAACGTTACGGATAATACTAATAGTATTGCGGTATGTGTATAATACGGAACAAGGAAAACGAACGGACCGGTCGCGTGGCTAAGCGGATACCGACTTTCCCGGTCGACTCAATTTTCGCGTCTACGACACGACGACGGTTGACGCGAAGCGACGGCACACGGCCGCGACCGTTACAACACCGCGACTCGTCACCATGGTTGTAAATTGTGGTACGCGGTTTCGACCATGCGGGATAACTGACGGGGATGCGGAGATAACACCGCGTCGCGGATTCGGCCTCGCGTTTTTCTGTTGCCAGCCGCGACGTCGACTGCTGACCGAAACGCCCCAAACGTTACCAGTCAGAAACGTACCCCGTGACGAAATTTCAGCCATTAACGCCGCCGGCACGCGTGAACCTCCCCCGTACCTAACAATAATAATAACAACTTTTAAGGAACAGATTTATCCACACTGAAAATCCCCCCCTCCCAAAAAAAAAGCGCTTAAAATCGTAAAAAAATCGAAAACGGTAAAGGGTCCAAAAGTTCCTCATCCCTACTCTAACGGCTTTAAATTATCAAATACATTTTTTTTTTTCTGATACTACAAAAATGATGTTAAACACGTAAAATTATTTATTTGGTTAAAATCTTTAGAGAGGGGCCGTTTAGAACTTTTCTATAATTTTTGCTTTTTCAAATATTTTTTTAAGGGCTTTTTTGACGTATTTAAGCAATTTTTATGGACTTTAGGCGCATATAATTTTGTTTCCTAAATTAATAAGTTATTAATAATAACTAATAACTTACTATCTAAATTGTATACGTTTAAAATGCTAAGAATATATAATGTTATTTTATGCTCTACCTATAATTTGACAGTTAAAATATTGTTCTTTATATACACATAAAATATAAGTATCTCAACAATCAATTTTTGAGTTATTATTAACTTCTAGTTCCAGATTACCAAACACATAATATCAACAGTATTTGCTGTTATTTTACCGCTAAGTAAACTTTTACAAACACGTGAATTTGATTTATCTCATGCTATTAATATGGCTGATAATTCTATTAATGTTCTAAAACAAAAGAGACAAAATGTAAAAAAAGGATTTAAAATAATATTTTAAAGAGTAGAAATATTTTTTAAGAACCCTAATAACAGTATTTCTTTGCTCCATCGTATTAGTAAACGAGTAAATCTAGAGATAATACTCGTGTAACCACGCTTGAGGAATATTACCGAGTAACAATATTTATTACATATTTTGATAATTTTATATCAATGATAAGTGATTGTTTACTTAAATATAATACTGTATTGGAGAACTTTAATTTTTTTGTTTTCGATGAAAGAGAAAATTATTCCAGTTACTTTTAAAAATGATATAAAATATTTAGTACAAAAATATTCACAATTATTACCATCCTTTTCTTCTTTAATTGTAATTACGGGACTTAAATTATGGTTGACTTCTCTACAAGATTTGACCGAAATTCCATCCAATTTATCAGAATTGCTAAACAATTGTAATGAAAATTATTAGCCGAATTTCTATAAACTTATAAAAATCGTGGTCATTTTACCTATTACTACAGCTACAGCAGAGAGGCCATTTTCGATATTGCGAAAATTAAAAATCTATCTTATAAATACCATGACATAGAACCGTTTAAATGCATTGGCTTAGATGAATATTCATAGACAAATTGAAATTAACCTAGATGAAATGTTGGATAAACTGGCTAAGAAAAAAGGAAAATTAATTTAATGTTGTAAAATGTAACAAAACTATTTTAAAATTCTGTTCAAAAAACTATTTTTTTTTTATTTTTTTTTTTTGCAAGTTTATTTGTTTATATATTTTATGATATAATAAAATAATATTATGAATAGGTACGTATATAACCATATAAACTGTAACCACAACTTAAATATACTTTTTTATTTAGGCATAACTATCTTGGAAATATCCAAATTGACATACTCATTACATATGTTACCTACGTAATATTGTCCGTAGGCTAGTAACAAGTAGGTACAAATATGTACCGATTATATATTGATAGGTACACACAATTATTTAATATATTGTGAACGGGATTTTTAGATCAGAGCAACTATTTGTTATTTTGAAAACTCGGAGGAGCTAAACCTTCTCGTGGTCTCCCTTGAAAATTGTATATTTTCAAAATATTTTCATAGTTACAAGTTTACAGCAGTACGAAATATCCACTTAACACACGAAAAGAATAAGCATCAATTCGAAAGCCAAACATTCATGGACAGTCACCACGTAAAGAAGAGTGTCATATACATAAATAAATAAATAAATTTGAAAACTTGACATCTACCTCTGTAGATACCTTTACAATACCTCTGTACATATATGGTGTATATTGTGTTATAAAAGGTCTAAATATATCTTCCATGATAATATTATAAACTAATCAAGTCACCTAAGGTTTTTTTGATTTTTTCGGGACAGGAATTCCATGCAAATCCATACACAATTACATACTAAACACCTGCGAAGAAAAGAGTTCAAAAAATTGAATGAAAGGGGAGCATATAAACGTCAATAAATTCGTCTGATGGATTATCGGTTTATCTTAATTATTGAACCTAACGGTCGTATTTTCGACTATTTTAGACTACCTATAATATTGAGAATATAATATGACGATTGTTATTCCATGGTCATGGCTAGAGCCACTGCGATATTATTTTTAAATACTTGTGTAGATTACTACTAGCTTACTACACCATCGGACTTTAAAAGATGCAATTTGTTTTGAAAAAAATACAAACGTAATAAACAAATATGGATTTTTCAGACTATTCAGTGCATAACCCGTATTGCTCCACTATTGTAATGTTGGACATTTTTCTTTATTCGTTTTTATTTTATTTTACATTTTTCGCCATCTCCCGTGCCTGTCAATTACGGACACCTCTGTCTATAACGGATACTTTTTATGGTCCCGTAACTATTCGTTATAATATACAAGTTTCACTGTATAAATATTAAAATATTTTATTATTAGTATTATAGTGGCTGGATATATTAAACTTACAATAGGCTTACAAAAAGTATTTTAACATTATTTATCATACATACATTCATTGTCTGTAGGAAATCTATATTTTGTTCTGCTCATTAATTATGAAATGCATTTCATTAATAAAATATTTATTTGTTACTATAAAATAACAGATTGGGTTTTAGGGTGCTAATTTTAAACTTGGGGGTGTTAAATACCTCCAGCGCATTTTTAGTTGCGCCTATGATGTCAACATGTAATTTAATTTTAAAATTTAAACTTTAATCATCACATTATGATCTAACTGCTCTAAGATATCATCTTAGATACCTTATACATTAATATACACATTTATGTGTATTATTTATGCTTGGCCAATGTGCATATTCCATATTCACTAATCACATCTTGTTTTATGTTTAACCTTTTGAATGTGCTAAATTAACATCCATCTGAATTATTTAAACAACGATATAGACATAATCTAATACTTAAGAAATTACTTCTCTTTCCTATTTGTTTTTGATAATTTAATTATTTGTCAATAATAACTGTGTTTTACACTTCTTTTTTTCTCATAAATTGTTTACCCTATAAATAACTAATTACTTTTAGTATTTATTTACGAGTCATCAATATTTGCTGATTTAGATTAAGAAAAATGATTACAAACTGCAGAAGTCATCATCCCTCTCTTAAACAAACCAATTGTGATAAATATTAAGAAATTGTATATTTCATCAAGAAAACTATTATTATACAAATACTAAGTTATATTTCTTATGGAAAAATATAATTACTCATTTAACTCATTAATCATTAATTAACTACTGAATTAAATTTAAATTTAGCTATTTGATTATACAGAATGTAAAACAATAGTAAATCACAATTAATAATTTCCTTTATTATCATTGGCATTGAAATTAGTGCATGGTATTTCTGATTTTCCGAGATAACCTGCTACAGCATTTTGGAATCCAATAAATGGTATACATTTGCAGTTATTTAAGATGTCATCAAGTTCAATCCATTTTATACTCAATCCACATTTTTCATTACTTATATATTGTCCCTAAAAAACATTAAACATATTAAATTCCTATGTAATTGAAAACATAAGTTCAATTAGTGACCTTCAAATTACATATATTATTAATAGTTAAATAAGACAAATTGTATTAATAACATTGCCATAATATTAAAATAGGTAGAATTGAAATTTAGAATTTAGAAAATTGTTTGAATAATATAATATGATAAATCCTCAATCAGTATTCTTTATAAATAAATGGTTCCATATAAATTTTGTTTAGTTTTAATTTTACCTTAGCATAATAATCTTTTGTAGTTTGTATACACCATGTATTTATGTTATAACTACCCAAACACACCTACAAAATTAAGAAATATTTTATTATTGTACAATGAATACTATAATTTTATTTAAACTAAAATTAAATTAGAACGTACTTGATTATAAGACACATAACTATTACATTCAATATTAATTGGGCCCAATTCAAGAGTGTAGTAGATCATATCATAATTAATTTTCGACGCCTTTAAAAATGTTGTAACTTCTTGCTAGAAATAGTTCAAAAAATCAAAACAGTTGTATCTGTTTGTTACATAACACGTAGCATATACCCGTTACATAGCATAGTAAAACTACATTTTCTCATTTATAGCTAGGTATGTAATTAGAATACCTACACTCAATTCCTAAGTGTAAAGAGAATCTACGAGAGAATTTGTCAAAATATAATTAACATGTTTTAATTTGATCGTGTTATATTCAACCAATAAATCATACCTAGGTACCTACTTACTGTAGGTAATTTAATTGTTATAACAAAATCAAAAATTAGTAATAACAAATATGAAAACAGGCAAATAATAAATTTAATGGTATTTTTTTTTTTTTTTTTAGTATAGTAAAATATTTAAAATAGTAAACTAGATAGGTTAGATTTTAACCCATATGATATAATTAACAAAATCAAAATACAATGTAGGTAATTCCGTGAGTATGAGTACCTACAAAATGTAAAGAGTGAAATAATGACATAAACAATAACCACTATAAACTTAATATTATCGATCAGTAGGAAGCAACTGAGAGCTTAGTATTACAAAATAATACATAATACCTACTACTACATTGTTGATATTTAGTTAAAAGTGTATCAAAATTTTTTGATGATACTTTAATACAATTTATGTTCATTTTAAAATTTAATCAAATACATTTCACAATTCAATTCACACAATTGAAAAATGAGAAAATCGTTTTTTATCAAATTATTTTACCATTCCAAGCATGTAACAGGCCCCGTGTGGACTTTGTAAAAGTGGAGTTCTTCCATTATATTGTTGAGGATTACAATCATTCAGGTCATACGTATTTATATCATAAAAATTTACTAATTTATTCATTTCTTCGAAATTATAAACTGAAATCAAAATTATCATTAGTATAGATTTTAAATTTTCGGACTTAAATAATAAATTGGTTTATATTTTTGTTTCTTAGCGAGGGGGACTACTTTTGAAAATTGCAATGTATCTCTATTATAATATATATTATTTAACTCGTGAATATATCACTTGTAAAGTAAACACATAATAATATTATAATAGTTGGTATTGTATTAAATGTATTATAAAATAATTGAGTTTGACAAATACTTAAAAGTTTTTATGAAAATTTAAAATCAGCGTAGTTAAAATTTCAATTTACAAACTCCCGAAATTCCCAAGACAAATATCAAATTACTTGTAAATTACATATTAGTACTAAGCAAACAAAATATTCTTCCAATAATTATTAAGATTTATTTTTGTACCTAGGTATATTATTACAAACAATATATAATACCACCTACTATTTAAATCAAAATTAACAAACAACCTGTAATGTTAATTTTCAAAACCTATATAAAAAAAAAAATACATAATTGTTGACAAAATATTATAAGTAATATAATTACCACAAGGATTTTTAACAAATGGAGCATAAGCTTCTATATTTACACCAATAATGAAGCTATCACAGCATTTCAATTGTTTTAAATAAGGTAATACGAATTCTCCAATATTGATGTTCAGTGATTGTGAATACTAGATCCCAAAGATATACTTATTAATATTTAATAATTAAACAAACATATTATACATTATATCGTCTATTATATCAATAACTAAAATTTCACATGTGATCTATAATACCACTTTTCCAGGCGTACACTCAAACTGTTGTAATCAATGTCATATTAGTCGAAAGTTAACGACATAAAGCGCAGGCAAAATGCGCATAAAATGCAGTAAACTTTTTTTCCCATCATAAAATACAACTTATGATGAACCTCGTATTAAATATAAAACAATTTTAGCTCGGTCAAAAAATAGTTTCACATAAATCGAAAAATAGTACATAGTCGAAGTGGCATAACTTAAACGATCGTTGTTAAGATTTTAACTTTAAACGAGTATATAAAAATACGGAAATCCTTCGCACGATGGGAAGACCACTGTTGTGAGAGAGAAGTTAGGAAGGTAAGATATAAAGGGGAATTTAATTTAAATTTGTTTGCAACGATAAACCATTGCTAACGAAAAACAATTTGGAGCGAAGTTTCTTATACACATGTATTGGTTTTACTATGATGTGTATTTTTTTTGTCTGTAAATAATTTTTTGAAAAGATACCTTGCTTGAATGTACACTATCTTTTATGAAAGGAAATTTTTTCTTGGTGAATTAAAGAGGTCATTTTTTAATATCCTAAGTAGCTTTCATAATATTTGGGAAAAATCAAAAAAATTAAAATTGATTAATATTAATATTCATGCAACGTGGCAGTTAAATTATTTTAATTTATACAGCTTATGTTTTCTACAAGAAATATTGCTCTAATATAAAAACAACAAGAGATCATTTTTGTTGAATTTTCAATCTAGCTCAAATTTCAATGAAAATTATAAATACTTTCAAAACGTGATAATCAAACTTCGCTCCGAATCGTTTTTCGTTATCATTGGTTAGAAATATAAATTAAATAACTTTATGTATCCCAAGTTCCCAATTACCCACCTACAACAGTAGCCGCACTATCCCCAGTATCAGCTCTATTTTTAGAATCTGACAGTGGTTGTAATAATCCATCTATTGCCCCCCCTAGTCTATTTTTTTTCTGATGAATAATTAAATGAGTCTTTATCATGATAATGATTGTGAATTGAATTTTAAAAAATTGGGAAAAGGTTATAAGCTCTCCAACATTATGACCCTATGATTTTTTATTAGTCATTTTCGCCCCCACTTAAAAGTCAATTATAACCGAATCTGAGCGCAGTATATTGGTTTCAGTATAAAAATATGTGCTTTTCCATTATTATTTTTTTTTTTTGTGTGTGTCTGTGTGTAACTATTCTATCAAAAATCTTACTCCAAACAAAAAAGACAAGCGACATTATTATGTAACATTATGGGTCTTGTTGATGCATTGAGGTAATTTTTTGAATTTCCCTTGAAATTTATATAATCAATAAGAAAATCTGAAAAAACCATACAAGAAAAAAGACACATTTACGGCGATATAAGTGTTCGATTTCATTTCTAACAGAAATCGTGCTCCGAAATTAAAGTGAAACATCTTTTCCCTAAAACATTGTCACGTCTCAGCTAGTTGGTGCATAAAGAGGTGATTGTTTTATTTTTCTTGTGATGTTTTTTACAACTAGGAAAATCCGATAAAAACATAGAGAAAATGGGAATTTTACAATATTAACGTTTTCTGCATTATTTTCAAACTGTTTTTTTATAATTCGGTTATAAAATAATTGTAGAGATCTGAACTTTTTATAAAATACTAATATGGTCTTTTTTACACGTAAAATTTTCAAAACATTCTGACATTTTCTTGTTTTTTATTTTAGTTTTATTTGGTTTTTGTGGATAAAATATTTTTAGTTACTCTGCAATGCTTTAAAATTGTATACAAGAGGTTCATCATAAATGTTACTAAATAAGGGTAAAAATAAAAGTTTAATGTAACCCTTTTAGATTCTAAACTGAGCGAGGAATGTATTGATTTGACAATGATGTTTACTTTTTTTTTTATCTGCGAACAATTTTTCTTTCAGCAATTTTGCTCTCAATTACAGCACTTTTTCTGATTGGAAATCTGACTGAGGTGGTACTTTAAGGAGAACATTTTTTGATTTTCCGAGAAGTCTTCTCAACAAATAGAAAAAACGAGAAAATTTTCGAAATGTATACCTATAGGTATTATTAAAAAAATATTATGGCCTTTTTTAATCATTTACACCGGAAAAAACATGGGAAAACCGGAAAAATAGGTAAAATATTAATCAAATATTATTAAAGAAAATATACGAGTATAATGCATATGTAATTATTTTACCATAGTATGACATATATATTGTTTGACAAAGCAACACTATTAACCGAACTCCGTTCAGAATCGTTTTCCGTTAGCAATGGTTAATTGTTGTGTACAGATATACATTAAATTTTTCGTCTACCTTCCCAACTTCTTACCTGCAACAGTGGCCCACCTATTGTGCAAAGTATATCTGTATCTTTTTTTATATATGCGTTCAAAATTCAAATTTTAATGGAAATTGTAAAAATCGCATCATTCCGCGTACTAATAATAAATTTAAAAAAAAATCTTGTATTAAAAAAACGTTGATAAAATTAATAATTTAATATTAAACATATTTAAATATAATAAATGTTTATTTATTAAGGTTAATACTAACGGACTTAACAAAAAGAAAAAAAAATCCTATTTATTTATTGTTTTATAAAATTATAAAACCACACATAAATTGCTCATGTGCGATTACCTATGTCAACTGCAGTACTTACGGTCGTAGGCGCTAATTCTTTAATTATAAATCCTTTTATATTGTACATTGATGCAAAATCACACAAACGCTTTGCTTCTACCGAGTTTCCATCAGATGTCAATATGTCAGACCAACCTTCGTAATCAGTATCTCGCTTAATTGCCACCAGCAAGGTTTTATTTAAACACATCAATTTGTTAAGAATATCTAAAATACATTATTGATTTATAAAATTATTATTATTCTCTAAAATCTACGTAGTACAAATTAATGCTTATATTATTATTTACCTACAGTCTTTATAATCAAATCGGTGACATCAAATATGTATTTATAATAATTATAAACTTATTTATTTATAATTATTATTATTGTTTGAAAAAGTTTAAATTTTAAAGAAAATTTAGGAAATCGTTTTATTTTTTTTAGAATTTGTATACTAAATTGACATTCAGGGTTTAAATGACTATCTTTACAGTTTACTTGTAAGAATATATTCATATTGTTTAATAGATATGTTATTTTATTTTGATTTATTAATTTTAGTGAGCGTAAATAATTATTTTATGGTATAAAACTCCTTCAGCTAATTTTAAGTAGGTTGATAGTTTAAATAATGGACATTTCGAGCATAAATCATGTTCATTAACATAATAGTATGCAATTTCTGAAAGTTTTGAATCATTGCTATTATTGTACAATTAAACATTTTATATTGGCAATGTTAAAATAGGTAAATATAAGTATATAGATAGCGTTGACTCCGCACAAGTGAAAACCGCACACTTTTGATGAAATTCAGGATAAAACCGCACACTTTTGGTAGGTCAAAACCATACACATTTAGTAGGTTAAAACTTCACAATTTTTAAAGATGTTGTATTTAAAAACCGCTCATTTTATAATGATGTATAATCTATTATTTATTATTTATATATGATCTATTAAAACAAATTTATATATTGAAAAATTTAAGATATGAAACCACTAAAACATTAAAAACTACATGCATATCAAGTTACGTTAACACGTGTTTCAGTGGATAATTGTACTTGAAAAATATTTAATATTAGCACAGTTTTAGCACATTATCATCAATTTATTGGAAGTTCAGATAAAATACCTAAATAACGAATAATGATTAGCCTATATCAACCTATGATAAGATATAAGCATTCCCCAGACGCGGAGTGCCTAAACTGCTGACCCCGGAATACACCGTCGAGCACACGCTCTTCGTATACCCTCACTGGGAACTCTACCGGCAAGACGTCAGAGCGTATGTTGGCGGAAGAAACATAGCTCCCATCAACGTCCAAAACCTTCTTTGCGGCCGGGAAGACATCCCATGCCGGGATTCTGACCAGGCTTAACACGATCAGATCAAGGCAAACTCCTTTCGTGGCTTACAGTCCTTCTACCCCATAATAGAGAACATACTGAGCCACAAGAAGCAAGACGAGAGGTTCAGGTTAGGTTAAGTTAGCATAATGTCAGGAGGTGACGCGGTCCTACCGCTTACTTCTCACCATAGTTTTAATTAGCATAGTTAATAATATTAGCCTGCCATGCGAAGGGAAAAACAGGATTTTACGAAATATTACTTAATTATACTTATTAATAAACGATGGCAGTAATGGGGTAGCAATGTGAAAACTGATGTCTCACTGCTGTCGGTTAGTTGACAAAAAAAAAAGATATAAGGATTTGTATATGTAACAGATTATTTTAAAATTATAAATACAACATGCATCTTTACACAAGATATTAACGTGCGGTTTTTACCCACTATAAGTGTGCGGTATACAATATACCTACCTAGAAACCAATAGTGTACGGTTTTTATTTATCGACCATTTTGTAGTTAAAATCGTATTTGTGCGGTTTTTGGATGCAACCATAGATAGACAGGGTCTAAAATATTAAATGTAATGAATAAAATATTAAGCCACAACATGTTACATTAAAATTAAGTATGTATGAAAATTTAAAATCAATATACCGTTCTGCGTTACACATTATTATTACTTACTAGAATGTATACGTAACTTGGACGATGAATTGATAGTCAACGAATTGTATACAATTATATCACATTCAGGTGGAATATTTGTTGGATCTAGGAAGGGTATCGCTGGATTAAGGTTATTCATATATCCCTTATAATGACACATTATTGACGACGTAGGAAATTTATTATCTGTGAATCATTAATTATATTTTAATAGTCATAAAAAAAAAAATTAGAAAAATGATGACAACTTTAACTACTACTCACCTAATCATATAACTATGGGTATATAAACAAGCACGTATACAGAATCAAATTTCTGAATGACGGAGGATTAGAAAAAGCTCATGAACAAAAAAATTAAATATATAAAACTATAGAATTAATATATAATGAGTTTTTCAGATTTCAGGGTGGTGTAAGCCCACTATTGTACACGTATCTGCGTATAAACATCACTGTACGAATGTCCGTGTTTTTAATGCGATCACGAACGATCGGATACAAGTATCATTATAGGCGTACGTAGGATTTTTTCGCAGGGTGTGCCATAAAGAAAACGGGCTATTATTCCTTGGTCTTTTATCCTCCCCCCTAAACAAATAATATAAGGAATACAAAATATCAATTCATTAAAAATCATATTGTTCACCTACATAGTATACTAGTATTATATTAACTATAGGTATTAACAGGTCTAACAGTATTTCACGAAAAAATTATTATATATTTCAACATATCTTTAATAATAAATTATAACATTGTTAAAAATTTAAAAAAAAACTCAATGTCGTCACAATTACAATAGGCCCTGAACCTAAGGCTGTGATAAGTAATATCACAGTAAGTGATTGCCGATTAATTTGATTTATTTATTACACTATGAAAATTTTTCATACTAAATTGATTAACATTTAGTTAAAAAAAAAAAACCAGAATGAGCAATTTTGTTTTCAACCCAAAGACACTGGGTACCATGGCACACCGTGTGCGCACTCCTATGGGTATCATACAACTCAACTTGTAGTCTTATGGCATTCTAATGGGTCTCCCAATGTTCTCGGATTCAAATAGATAAAATCGTTTGTCTTTCTTCCCCTTTTTCCCTCTTGCACCAGTGCAGGTGGCTTTTCAGTTATTATAGATAGTAAGTTTTAAGTTTACACTGAAGGCACTGATTAGTAATTTCCTTTGACGTTATCAGGTTTGGACCAATATTACACTTCGTTTTTTATTTTTGTTTTAAGTATGAGTAATAGTCGTTTTTATTATTCTTCTTATGTTTATTATTCTTATTATTACTATTCCTATTTTTATTAACTTTATTAAAATTATTGTTTATTGTTGGTTATTTTATTAAAATGCTGATTATGATATTTATTAATGATTATTATTATTATTATTATTATTATTATTATTATTATTATTATTATTATTATTATTATTGATGGTTGTTATAAGTATTCTGATTATTGTTATTTTTTATGAATGTTATTAAAAGTATTAATGTATATTATAATGCTGATTTGATATTATTAAAATTTCTCCGTTAGAAGAACACCAAGGACCGTCCAAAGCCGCATTAGAGATACGGACGTTCATGTACCTAGACATAGCGTATAAATAATAAATATAGATAAGTAAGTACCACGTGAATATCTACATATTGCATATTATAGTAACTAGTTAGTATGTTTATGAGCATAGATGGCATTTGGGTGGTACAATTCCCTATCATAAAAAAATTTTAAGGGCAAATTTATCATTTTGTCCCCTCCTAAGTTAAATACTATTTAAACAACTTTTAATTTTAAACAAATATTTATGTTAAAATAACTTTTATATAATTACACAAGACATTTATTCTCCGTGTTAAATCAGATATTAAACGGATGAAAAACGGGAAAACTTGCGAAATATATTAGTCAAGTATTACAGTCTTTTTGTTCTGTAGATAACTTTCCTACCGCCAGTTTTGCTCCAATTTACAAAGATAGCACTTTTTCTATAAGGAATTCTGACTGGAGAGTTACTTTAAGGAAGTCATTTTTTTGATTTTTCCAGCTGTTTTCATAATAAGTGGGAGGAAAAAATAAGAAAAACCAAAGAATAACTTAGGCAAAATGAGAAAATGGGTAGGTACAATAATAAACAAATAATATTAAAGAAAATATAATTATTTTATTATAACATAGTACATACATTTTTGACAAAGCAATACTATTAACCGAACTCCGCTCAAAATCGTTTTTCGTTAGAAATGGTTAATTGTTGTGTACAGATATACATTAAATTTCTCCTCTACCTTCCTAACTTCTCATCTAAAACAGTGGCCCACCCACGTGTGAAGTATGTCCATCTTTTTACTCCTACTTTTTATACCTGAAAAAAACATAAGCTTTAGATTTTGAAAAAACAACCACCCCTCTACTCACAGATTCAAATAAGACGATATTTTTCTGAACACTGACAGATATAACACTATATCAGATTTACCTACCGTTTATAGTTTAAAGTTTAGACTGGAGAAGTAGAAAAGGAATATCCATTTATTATCTTAAAATAGACATGAAATTTATTACCCTTCTCTACACCGCTGGTAAAAATTTTAAACTGTTCTAACTCATAAACAGTAAATCCAATAGTACTGTTGTACATATATGTCATTCATACATATATATCTGTTGTATATATCGATTTTTTTTTAAGAAATTTTCTATTTGAATTTGTGTTCAATATAGAGGTTTCATTTATTTTAAAATCAAAAGTCAAAAACACATTTAAGTTATAAAAAGTAGTAGTAAAATATGAAAAATAGTTATAAAATAAACGATTCCATAATAATTGAAAAAAAAAAACAGAAATCAAATTAACTTCAAATATTTCGAGAAATAAATGCCTAGGTAAAATTTTGACATTCAATGTTCAGAGAGTTTCTAAACTCCAACTTAACATACTAATACGATACACTTATACACATAAATACAATTTTATATCATAAGTGTAATTAATTTAATGTATACGATTTCAACGTGGTAATTGAGTCAAAATGAGTTCGTTACATAACTTGGGCAAGCGGCACATCGGACTATTAGCCACGTATTCCTGGAACTAAACGGAACATAAAACATAGATTTAATTCTAAAATCAAAAACAAGAACTTTAAAACCAATTTCAAATAATCACTCGGGACAATCTATCACCCCGTTCATTAGTTCGCACGCAAAAATAACGTCTGAATATTTCCGACGTGTGGCGAACAATATTTTCAAAACGAACGTTATTTATTTTTTACATAATAATATAATATATTCGTGTATTATTTTTATACCATCTTTACCCGGCAAACATTTTATATTATAGCTATTTATATTTGTTCATAAATGAACTTGGCCGTATTTTAGGGTCCCCCTGGGGATTACGCGCCCCCGGCTTTCCGCGAGCATGCCACACCGTCACCTGTAACCTAATATATTCAAATATATATATATGAAATTCTTGTATATAATATGTTTCTACCGAAAAATGAAAATAATACGACAGTCGGCTATATATTGATATATATATATATATATATGAAATTCTTGTATATAATATGTTTCTACCGAAAAATGAAAATAATACGACAGTCGGCTATATATTGAAATTCTCAGAAAAAAATAACGTCCCTCAGAAACTACGTCTATCAATTGTTATTATTATCAAATAAAAATCGCCCCGTATATATCACGTCTTGGAAGAAACATAGCAAATAAAACGTCGGAAAAAGCGCCTCGTTAAATTATGTACCTATAAGTATAGGTAGGCAAAATACAAACGATTGAGACTTAAAATAGTATTTTTATTCTACCTACACTTACCTGCCCACTTCTTGTTACGATATTTTGAGAGAATTTATATACATGCATACCTATATTTCTACACCAGAGAAATGACGCGTAAAAATGTGTGGTTTTTTCATACACACAGGGTGATTCATAAGTGAATGATCATTAATCTTAGGCATGCTCACCCTATTTTTTGATTAAATTGTGTAGATATTATTTATTGTTTTTTATTTTTAAGTGTAGTTAAAGTGCCGTTATTTTTGAATACTAAAATTACAAGATATCTCACTCTTAGGTTTATGGTAGGGGGAAAGTAGTGGAGCACTAATAAAACATCGCGTGCCATACCACCACACTTCTCTACCGTCTCCCTACCTAAACTTAAAAATGGAATATCTGGTTAACTGGTTAACGGAAATCAAACATTTATTTAAAATAATACTCTATCTCTTTATGGCATTTTCAATATGCCATATTTATTTTTAATACATAAATATTAAAATTTGTATTACTATTTTGGTTTTAGTGTCATAAATAGTATAATACCGGCCAATGATGATATATCAGCATAATTTTTTTTTTTTAGATTCTGAGTGAAACGAAAAATAAATAAACATCTTTGAAAAACCATAAGATTCTTCGCTCCACTCAGAATCTAAAATAACAAATCAATAATAATAATAATCATTAACAAATATCATAATCAGCATTTCAATATAATAACCAATAGATAATAATTTTAATTAAGGTAATAAAAATAGGAATAATAAGAATAAGAATAATAAACATAAGAAGAGTAATAATAATGAGCACATTAAAAATCGTAATCATAATCAGTATTTTAATAAAAAGCATTAATATACTTTTAAAAAAGCTTTTAATAATAAAAATCAACAATAATAGCAATCAGCATACTTTTAACAATCATCAATCATAATAATAATCATCAACTAATAACATAATCAGTATTTTAATAAAATAATTGGAAATAACCATTATCATAAGTTTAATAAGGGTATTTATTGATGTTATAATTATTATTAAAAATATTGATGATTAATCTGATGCTGATTTGATTCCTATTATTAAAATGCTCATTCTGATTATGATTATTACTATTATTGTTATCATCATTATGTTTATTATTATTACTATTATTATACTTATTTTAACTACCCTTATTAAAATTACGGTTATGATTATTGACGATTGTTATAAGTATGCTGATTATTATAATTGTTGATTTATATTATTAAAATATTGATGATTATTCTGATACTGATTAGATTATTATTATTAAAATGTTCATTATTACTGTTGCTAATTATGATTATGATTTTATCAGTGTTCGTCATTATTATCATTTTACATTCTTAGTGTATCAATGAAAGTATTGGATTTACAAATGTGTTTTGAGAAAATGTTTGAGAAAATCAAAGAATGACCTTTGTAAAGTACCTCTCCGGTCAGATTTCTTTTTAGGATAAAGGCTATCATTGTAAATTAGAGCGAAATTGTTGGTATAAAAATGTTCACGGAATAAAAAAGAATGATATTTTTCAGATTCTGAGTGGAACAAAGAAGCTTATGGTTTTACAAAGACTTTTATTATTTTTTATCTATGTGCTACTATTTTACCACAAATCTTGCTCCGATTATTATGTGTAGCAACATTTCCAAAAGAAAATCGGACTGGGGATGTACTTAAGCTCCTTTTTTGATTTTCCCAATAATTTTCACAAAAAATGTTAAAAACCGAAAAAGAGAGGAAAAACAAGAACATGTACGAATTAAATAAGTATAATATAACAATTTTTTTTTCTGTGGAGAACTTTTCTACCCCTCAATTTTACACCGATTAAAAATGATAGCACTTTTTTCTGAAAGTAAATCTGTCTGGGGAAGTACTTAAGAGAAGACATTTTTTTGATTTTCCCAGGAGTTTGCTCAACAAATGTGGAAAACCGTGAAAAATAAATAAACATCTTTGTAAAATTATATGCTTCTTACCTCCATTTCAGAATGTAAAATCATGATGATAATAATAATAATAATGATGAGCACTTTAAAGATCATAATCACAATCAGCATTTAAGTAAGAAACATAATAAGTAATAATAAATATAATGATCACTTAAATAATAATAATAATCACCAATAATAATAAAAAGCATTTTAATAATAATAATCAAATCAGTATCATAATTATCATCAACGAATAGCCTTATTAAATTATGATTACATATAACAATTGCTGCACCCATCCCCATAATCCTATGACAGCTTTTTAACTATTTGAGAGTGTACGCATTACCAATGATTTTTCAACAATAATATATTGATGGTATACCTATTCCGTGTTAGTAGTATACCCTATTGTTTTTCAACTTAGGAATCCTGAACCCCTTGTAAAGGGGTTGCATTGATCAAAAATAATTAAACGCTGATAAACATAAAAACCTTTTATTTAAATTGTTTAATTAAAATTTAAAATTAAATACATAATTAGAAAAATTATAAAGCAATAATGAATGCAATATTTTTTATTGTTTGTATTTAAATTATTGTTTATTTATGGTTAGAAATTTGGTACACGGAAGAGTAAATTATTATCTGCGAATAAAAATGATTTCTATATTTTGTTTTTAATGAAAGATAAATCTTTTTCACGTAGGTTACAAGTGGTGAGTGGACTCTATTTATTCAATGTCCCTGACTTCTGTATTCATTTCGCTAAGAGAACTAAACCCTATTTAAAACTTGTGATGGAAATCGTAATTGTTTTATCAGCTAGTAATTCTATAAGTTGGTTATGAATCTCCATTTGTAATTTGGCAATTGTAAACATGGCTTAAGGATTCAAATGGATTAAGAACCCATATTTTTGAAAAAACATCCTTGTTACATTGAAATATTTCAGTAAGTGAATTTCTAAATCTCTCAGATGTGTTTTCATGGTGTCCAAAACAAGATTAAGAATAGGACTTTTTGAGTTTACATTTGTATCAATATAATTTAGAAGTTTAATCGAATGCATAGGTACAAATTTATTTTTTTGACGTGATTAAGCTCAAATTAATTTTTATTATAAGGGGGTCGTGAGATATTATCTAATTTGAAAGCCACAACACTAAAAAGGTTGGGAAATGATGGGAACTCCACAGTATCACATGTAGATAATAGTAAATTGTCCTGTATAAATTACAACGACAAAGATTCTACTAGCTGTATACCCGTTATATATTGGGTTATAGTAATCATAAAATATTCATTATGTTTAGTATTATATCCAAATGCTGTAAATTTTTTTGGTGTTATCAAATGTTTTAACCAAAGTTTTATTTCACTGTTGACATTGAAACAATCATTATTATGTACAAAAAGTCCGACATAATTCGCACGTGGATAGGGCCACAGTTGTAGGTGAAAAGTTATGAAGATATAACAGAGGGAAAATTGCATGTATATCTGTACGCACCGATTATCCATCGATAATCCATAAAATAAAATGATACAATTAAAGAAATATTAATTGACAGTATGATAAAATAACAATAAAAATTAATAAAAGATTTGATACTCACATATAATAATGAGTGGAAATAATGCGTAAGCAACGAATACTACTATAATGATATTATAGGTACATTGTTCCGGTGTTTTTGTATTACTCGTTATTTGTCTTCGTTACCTGATGATGTCCTATGGCAGAAACATGTTCTAACAGTAATATAATATCATTATAGTAATAGGTAGCTTACACGTTTTTTGTATTTAATAAAATAATAATAATTGTTGTGTATGTGAAAAATTAATGTATAGGTATAACCTATAAATCAACTATTTTTACCCTTAAAATAAGGTTAAATACACTTATATTGATACTGCAGTACTTGAATTGGGGGAAACACAAGTGGCGTCTCTATTTTTATTTTTTAGCGCCATTTTAATAATCATTTCTATTAAAACGGTTGGGGTAATACGCCTCTTTAAGTAAATAATGATGTTTTCAAAAAATATTTATTACTCTACTGTCAACTCAAATAAATAATATGAATAATATATTTTAAGAATTTATCGTCCAGTAATAAATTATAATCATTTTGTTTTTGTATTGCACGTGTGCTGCTTTGCATGATAAATTAAGTCATGACTGATAAGCACAAATAACAATATCCAAGTGCTTCCGATTAATTGATGTGCCCGTAAAATTGTAACTATCTACTTAATTAAGTGATCTTATTAATTAATAATTTATAACGTTTAGTCAAAAAATAATTGAATTCTATGGATAATGTTAATTGTAGTGAGTTATAGATATTCTTTTAAATTAGTGTAAGAACTAAGACGGGTGTGGGAGCGAAGCCCCCCACTGGTTAGGTACTTAAGTTGAATTCAATTAGGGACTTTTTTTAATGTTTCTTAGTCCTCCTTCTTTTATTTTTCTTATTCAAGTACTGGATGTTAATACTATTGTTGTGTAATGAAGACAAGTAATTTATGTACACATGATAAAATAGTAATTTGATTGAAAGGCTCGTTTTTTCTCCGTCCTGCAGATTATATAATACAAAATAAATTATAAAGATCAGAGTCCTCAATCATTTTTTTTTCACTGTTATAATAATAATTCACTTAAATGTACTGTAAAGGACGTAAAGATACTTATAGGTATTTATATAAGTACATAATTTTTACACAGAACGTGAGTTTAAATTTTACCGGAACGTTTACATTGCAGTCGTATAAAATCGAAAAAAACAATGTCTTCAAAGGAAAAAAAACAGACATACTTCTCACGATGAGTGGGCCACTGTTATAGATGACAAGTTAGGAACGTAGAAGGGATTATTCATAAATAAATAAATACAGTCACAAGTCACTAATTTCGGGGGAGGGGGAGGGAATGAAATATTACTAATAAATGTTATTTTACATTTTTTAATTAGAGCAAAAATAAACATTTGATGTTAATAAATTCAATATATTTATAATATATTTTTTGTATCAAGTAACGTATACAATGATAATACGACGTCGTGGTTTAAACATCGTAGTTTATTTTTACATTTTTGGAATATTTTATTTACGGTTTTCCCATGTTTTATCTCGATTTTTCACATCTGCTGGAAAAACTCTTAGGAAAAATTAAAAAATGACCTCTTTAAAGTACCTTCCTAGTGAAATTTGAATTTAGAAACATTGCTATCATTAAAAGCTGGAGCGAAATTGCTGGTAGAAAAGTTGTGCTCAGAAAAAAAAAAAAGGGGGTAATATATTTTAACTAATACTTACATTTCTTATAAAATTTCCCGTTTTTTTTTCGGTTTTTCAAATTTGATGAGAAACCTCCTGAGAAAATCGAAAAACAACTTTCTTAAAGTAGCTCCTCACGACGATTTCCTTTCAGCGCACAGATAAAAAAAAATAATAATAAACATCTTTGTAAAACCATAAGCTTCTTCGCTCCACTTAAAATCTAAACATCTGAGAAATAATGTCTGGGGTCGGGGTGGCCTGGACGCTGAACCACTAGGGCCCTCCTGGATCCGTCCCTAGGGTATAGGAACGTAGCGTTTAATTTCAATCATTACAAAGGACGATACTTTTTTTTAAGTTTCATTGTATCCCTTCTTTTATTTTTCCAATTCAAACACTGATGGTAAATGCCTCGACCGTAAATAAATACCGGATCTGTACCTTAAATTTACGTTTCAAATAATAAAATGGTAATAATTATTACTTGACAGGATTTGTCCGTCCGCCATCGGCGACCAGTTGACAACACAGAACAATAACAAACACAAAAACATATCGCCTTGTGTACCTATAATAAACATCGCGAACGACTTAAAACTAAACGATAATTATTTAATTCATAGTGTTTTTTTTTTTTTTTTTTTCATTTAAAACTATTACTGTTAACGATATTGGTATTAGTTATCTGTTAAAAGTATGCGTGTACCCACGCAGCACGGGAGTCAAATTATTCAGCTATTTTAAACAAATATTTGTTTTGGTTTTTAATGTAGAGGTGCATATTATTAATGCTGCAGTAGATATATAATGTTATATAATATAGGTAATATGTTACGCAAATAAAAATCTGTAGTGTCTGTTCAAAAACAAATTAACAATATTATAATAATATTTATTCAAAACACATTTTATTTGCCTATTCAGTAAAAAAAAAAACAACAATAAATGCATTTTAAAAAATTGTATTCGAAGTTTTCAACAAGTACTACAAATATAATATAAATTGGTTTTTAACAAAAACAAAATATGCAAAATTATACGCTAGAAAAATGTTCAAATATCAATTAATAATCGTTTAAAGTAGAGATAAAGAGAGTGGGGGTTAAAATTCGATAGAGACGGACATACTTCGCACGCGGGTGCAGCCACTGTTGTAAATGAAAAGTTGGGAAGATAGGTTACAGACGGAAATTTCTGTAAGCAACAATAAACCATTTCTAAGCGGAGTTCAGTTGATAGTGTTGCTTTGTCAACAATATATATATATGTGTCATATGATGGTAAAACAATTACGTATTATGCATTAAACATTTTCTTAAATAATATTAGTTTAATATTATACCTATATTCCCGTTCTCCCGTTTTTTCAGCATACAGTGTACTCCCGATTATCCGTGGAATAGGATGGCAGGATATCCACGGATAAACGAATTCCGCGGATAATCCGCAAAATTAATATATTATCCCAANTCGAGTTATCGACTATGACAAATTCACAACCCAATTAAACCTATGATTTATAATGGAAAGATACAATACGTATATATTTTTTTGTATACATATAGGTATGTAGACGATTCCGTGGAAGACAGCGGATAATCCGCAACGCGGATAATCGGGAGTACACTGTATTGAGAAAACTCCTGGGAAAATCAAAAAACGATCTGTTTTAAGTGCCTCCCCAGTCAAATTCCCTTTCAGAAAAAATGCTACACTTGTAAATCGGAACAATATTTCAGTTAGAAAAGTAGAAAAGTCGTTCACAGATAATAAATAAAAATAAATTAATAAAAACAAAATAAACATCATTGTTAAACCATGAGCTTCTTCGCTCCACTCAGAATTTAAAATTAGAAAATAATAGTATTTAAATAAATAAGCGTATAAACAATTGCATAATGATTGAAAAAACATAAAATCAAATTTACTTTTAAAGTCCTCCGAGAAAATCTCTGGATCGTGAATCGTTTACAAATGAACATTAATCCTGCAGTATTATTCGAATATCAAGGAAAGATTAAGGTTTCAGTGACTCCCGGAACCAAACTTGAAAATAGACTAAATTATTATATATATTATATTTAAATTTGAGTACTGTTGGTATATAAATTACTTGTTAAACAAAGCGATCACAATAGGTATACCTATTTAGACTATATTGAGAGGCATGGTTGGTTTCCACCAAAAATGTACCTTTCCCTTTTCCGTCTAATCATAAATATTAGTCGATTCCCTTTCTCACCAAACAAAAAAAAATTATTCTAATGTTCGAATATTAATGGGCGTTTGTATCTATTACAATTATTAATTAGGCCAAGGGTTCTAAACTTATTGGTATCCGTGCCCCCTATTAAACTAAAAAATCAACTGACGAACTTCCCTCCAAAAAAACCTCAGTGAGTAGTCTTTAGTGTGAATGCCCGACAACAACTTGTCGCATATTTATCTCAAATTATCAATGCAGGACTATATGTATAATATTTTGTTCTTATATATAATATGTTGTAGGTACTTAATACAGAGTTTGCGATCTCGTCCAAAGTACGATTTTGATATCATACCTAGCTACTTTATCATAACCACCGACATACATAGAGGACTGTGCACGAGAACATAATTTTTGTTGAAGTAGTTTCATATTAAATTCATATCAATTGACACATGATATTTTTCATTTTCATTTATTTATTGTATACATTGTTTATAAATTGTGTAATACAAATATTTATAACAAAAAAATGTATTTAATCATAATAACAATAAATAAATAGGAAAATTTCATATTTAACACATCTGTCATTTAAGAATTCTTTTTAGTCAATTTATTTAACTAGGATACTTATCTTTTTCAACGAATCAAAAATATTTCCAATTTATATTGAGGTAAACAATTTCTTAATCTATTTAAAACATACATATTTTAATTTTGAAAATATTGTCCTATTGAAATACCTTTCGAATTTCAAATATGATGATTTAATATCTCAACTTTTTCCATGTAGTACAACTTAATTTGAACTAAAACTAATTATTTAAAAATATATATATATTTTTTTTTTAAATAAACTTTATTCACATTAAACTTTTATTACTTGTTAAAATCTGCAAGTGTAAAAAATTCAAAAGAAATTGGATGGATAGGTAGTGTGTTACTGGAATTTCATTGATACATAATAATGCATTTTTTATTAATGTTAAAACATCCATCCACTTATAAAATATATAAAGACAAATATACAGTACACAAGCGACTAAAATAATTTAAATTGTAATTAGTAGTATCAACAAAAATGTTACTATTAAATATGTAAGATTGCAAAATTAATTTTGTTAACATTTGTTTAGCAACACATTTTGAATTGTATCATAAATATATAACAATAACAATAATGGAAAACAATATTATCACATAAAGTATTTATAAGACATTCAATATTTATAACCTTTTACGCTTTTAACAGACAAATTATAAATACCATAAACAATCAGCTGATTATTTATTAATACTTAACAGGTATGATGCAATAAAATCATGATATATATTCAATCGCTGCTGCTACTACTGCTACTGCTACTGCTACTGCTACTACTACTTGATCCGTGTTTCTTGTGTTTAAATTCTTTATGCTTATGTGCTTTGTGCACAGCATAAGCTCCTGCACCAACTCCAGCAATTCCAGCTATGGGTACACCATATTTCAATGCCTTTTTGGCTTGTTTTCTTTGAGCTTTTGCAGCCTTTCGCTAAACATTAAAAAATATTATTAATTTCTTTTATTAAAAGATCACAGTAATTGTAATACCCGGTGACACGATAGTGTCTCCACCAAGTCAAGCTGAGCTACAGTACCTACAGTACTCTATCCACCTTTTCTCCTCCCAAAAAAAAAAATATTGAACCCTTATAGCTTTGGTCTGTATAATACTACAGAACTCAATTTTTATGAAATTATGTACCAATTATTACCAAGCATATACCATTTTTCCATTTTAGATTCTGAGTGGAGCGAGGTATGTATTGGTTTTACAATGATGTCTTTTTTTTCTGAGAACAACTTTTCTACCAGCAATGCTGCCCAAATTTTTAAGTATAACACCTTTTCTTAAAGGAAATCTGACTCAGGTGTTACTTTAAGAAATTAAATTTTTTAATTTTCCCAGGGGTTTATATAATAAGTGGGATAAAACATCAAAATGTACAAAATTTATTATTTTCAAAACATAAATATTACGGCCTTTCAAAACATATATGACTGAACTCAGCTCAGAATCGTTTTTTGTTAGCAATGGTTATTCATTACATACAGATAAACATAAAATTTCCCCTCTACCTTCCCAACTTCACACCTGCAACAGTGGCTTACCTACCATGCAAAGTATGTTTTTAAATAATTAGTTTGCTTCTACCCTACAGTTAACATATTAAAATTGTACTATAATTGTGTTAAAAACATTCAAAATAGTAATTTTATAAATTTTTAGTGGTTGAAACTTTTGTTTAGGTATGTGGTCCTTGTTTTCTAAAATTATTTCCATATCTGAATATTATAATCTATTATTTATTTAAAGCTATTATTATATGATAATATTAATTAATAAAACAAATTGTTATTTGAAGTGCTCTGACAACTGATTAAATATTATAATAGATTATAAACCACAATAATATTGATTGAAATTTGCAAAAACTTTAAAAAATTAAAGAAAACAAAAGACCATAGCTAAACAAAAGTTTCAACCACAAAAAATGTTCTCAAAATCTATTTTACAAAATAGCTATTTTGAATTTTTTTAAAAGAATTATGGTCAAATTTAAATTTATTTTATTTTCTATATTTTAAGTCTGTTTACCTAAAAAAAAACATTATTTGATAAAAAAATAAATGATATCTCAACAAAAACTTTCCGTAACTACATGTAAAAACCTCACTAAGAAAAAAAAAACAAGTTAGAAAAGTCATTATATCAAAAAGGGGCTAAGTTATTACTTAAGTTCATTAGTATAGAAATTGTTTAAATTGTTTGTATTTCATGAAGTGCGATGATTTAATAGAAATAATTTAACTTAGTTTGGCAGCTAGTAATATTTAAGAATATAAATAAAAATACAATGCTAACATGAATATTTACATCCCCATTTTATAATTAATGAATATTACCATAACACAATTTAAGTACATACTATGAATAGCCACCAAGCTAAGTTAAATTATTTGTACTAAATTATCGTTTTTCATACAATTTCTATGCTAATGAATTTAAGAAATTAGTAATTAATTAGCCTATTTTTGATATCACAACTTCAGTTTTTTTTTTTCTTATCGAAGTTTTTACACATAACTAATGAAGGGTGTTTGTTGGGATATCACTAATTTTTTGAAATTTTGAAAAATTAAAATTTTGGATATAATTAATCTATATTTTTGTTTAGGGGAAAAATTGCAAGGGCAAAATATCTTTGTTGTTTTACGGATTGAGTAAATGAATATATGATGTAACTATGAATATAGCTTATGAATATTGCTAGAAAACGATACTATAGTAATACAGCGATAAAATAAATAAACAAAATTGTTTTTTATTTGTCATAAACAGACGATAACAATGTGTACAACATATACATTGTTGAATTGTTAAAAAAAATGGTGTTTTGAGTAAAAACTATACTATTACTTTTTGCATATTACTCAGGCTGTAATCATCTGATAAACTTGACATTTACAAAAGTATCATCTACATAACATACTAATCAACCCGTGTAAATTTCAAAACAATTAGGCTATTAGTTTAGGCTACAGAGAGGTTGGACCATTTGCCGTAAAATTACACAGGTTAAAATAGGAGTTGGCCGCATCATGTCATAATCTGTGGTCTAAACACAGACTCTTTATTGTTTACTAGATTCACTCAAATTTTATCTAGGTAATATTCTAATTTTAATAAATTCTATGACTACACTATCAAAATTCTTGTTTTATTCATTTTAATCTTGTTTCAAAAGAAAATATGAACAAAAAAGGACATTTCCAGGACATTTGATAAATTTACAATTATCCTGCAAAAATGGAAATTAAAACATTTAATGTGAAGTATGCAAAGAAGTTTTATTACTTCAAGCTGGGATTCCTTCCAGTGTTAAAATCATAATTTATAATAATAGATATCTTACCTACTGTATTATTGTATAATAATTCTAAAAACTTACAGGGCTTATATGTCCAGTCAATGCATAATTAGTTAGTCCTTGATTGAGAGCATCTTTAATTGGTGTGGATTTATGTTTCTGAAATAAAAATAATAATTGTATTACTATTTTTTTTTTATATATGTATAAAAATAATAATACAGTAAAACCTCGTTAAGATCCTCTCGAAGTGGAAATCGTAAAACTGTGTATTATGCGAGATTATATATTAAAAAGGTGTTAAAGGTGTTTTTTTAATATTAAAATCTACAGGTACCCGGGACCCGGGACTGGGAAAAATCTATGTATTATGCGGAAGCATCTTAATGAGGTTTTACTGTGTTTGAAATAAAAAGTTTTATTTTATTTATAAAAATTATATTTTGGTAATAAAATAATAAATATATTTTTATAATACATTTTAAGTAAGTTATAATACTATACATTATAATTTGTTAAATGGCAGACACATAGAAATAAAAGTACTCACAAGTAAATTATAAGGAAATATTTAAATTATTTCTAATATAAGTGATGAATATTAATGATAACTTGCAAGCTATTTTAATTGTTTTATCCTGTAATTTTTTGTGTAAAACACTAGGGATCAGTATAGAAATATAAGTACGGACAATTAATGACTGAAAGTTTTTTCATCATAAATAATTTTCCAATAAAAATGGCCTAATAAAACATTAAAAGGATATCATTAAGGTGATATGTAAAAAGCAACAATTTGTTGTACATCCTTTAGTTTTCTATAAATTAATTTTATCTTATTGTATTAAATGAAAGTGTATTGTACATATTTATGAATTTTATTTGGTGCCTCTTAATGCTTTTTGATTTTTACATTCCTAGTAAATTGTTTATTTTTATAGATGCGTATGACATCACAACCAAAATATTTATGAGATAGGTAAATTTCAAATATTCATTGAAGTAAACACATTAATCACACAAAATGTAAGAGGAAACTAATATGCATTTAAACTTAAAATTCTTCAGATAATTATAACACTTGAATTTAAAAGAATTTAATTATGTAACTTATATATACAATTTGTTTTTAAATATTTTCATTTTACCTGTAAATAGGGCGAATTAAGTGTTTGACCGGGATAGGCATTGTATCCAGAACTGTATGGTGGAACAGATCCAGGTGGAACTCCAGGCATATGTGTGTGACCAGCTGACGGCATATAACAATGTGCATGGATACCAGGATGCCCAGGTAATGGCATTGTCGGACCACCAAGTGGTGGTCCGCTTCCATCAAAATTTATATGGATACTATGCAATTGTGCTTCTCCATCAATTGCTAAATAGAACACACTTGAAAATGGTATTCTGTGCTTCATTTCCGTATAATGGGCTCCATTAAATGCAATCTAGCACATTATTTTTGATAGACAATTTATACTTCAATAACATGATCTAACTTACTCTATATTCGTACGCATCACACAATATATCTAATTTGAACGGCTGACCTCTAATTAGAGCTATAGGAGGACCATGAGTTTCCTCCAGTCCCCAGTTATGTCCTTGAATACTGTTCCTGACAATCAGATTACGGGTGAAATCTAAAGCAACGTGCAGTGCAACAGAATCTCGAGGAGCGACATTTGGGCCAACTTGCAAATTGAAACAGATCCTAAATAAAATATTACCAAGTCTAATCTCACAAATCATTACAAAAGGGTTTTTATTGCAATATTTACCTGTTCGACGTTGGAAACGAAGTTCCCTGTACGTTTATCAACATACCTGGTTTCAAACCATTTTGTATTGGTCCGACGAACGGAATAACCTAAACAAACATAGTCGTTATATGATTAATGTAAAATAGAAATACCGTCTAACGTTTGAAAAAATATTTACAGGGTTGAGAAACGGAGCTTGCGCCATTTCGTGATCCGTGGAGTAAGTGTAGTTCTTCAAATAAAATGAAGAGAGTTGTAATCAATAGGTAGGTGAGTAATTTAACGAGATAGCGATTCACAGACTTACAGGACTTCTTGTTTAATACTTTAAGTATGTAACGAGCAAAAATTAAAAAATATGAATATTACGTTGTTAATGTTTATCAGTTACGAAGACATAAAATTATAAAAATGATAGGTACAGCCAGCTGCCAGCAGTATGGTCATAGACAAACCACCAACATAACAAAGTACAAGTCAACATTAATTATTATCATGAGTCATGATTCATAGTTATCTATGCTCATGACTAATGGATGAATCACGCGATACTATAAGGTACTATAAATATGCCATTTTGTTTGCAACAAAACTGATAAATGAAAACTGATTAACTATGATAGCCATAATGATTATTGAATTACTGAAATTTAAAGTTTAATCAAACTTCAAAAACTACTTATTCAGTTATTTAATTATTCAATTATGCCATGTTCTGCAGGGAACTGTACTAATCGAAGTACCCGGGGCTATCGATTATGTCGGTTTCCTAAAGACCCAAAACGTAAAAGAATTTGAATATTTAATAACAGACGGGATAAATGGATTCCAACCGGTTCAGCACGACTTTGTCATGTAGGCAAACACGCATTTATTTATTCATCATATTCTATACTGAATTGTTATTTGAATAATTCATTTTGAGGAAAATCGAGTAGATGGAGTAAAAATATTGAAACACGATGTAATTCCCACTATTTTGGATGTTCCTAATCCACCAAAAACAATAATGACCGCAAGAAACTTCATGTATAAAATAAATTATACAAATTATTACGTGTGTGGGGACTATTTTGATAAGAAATAGTGTCATGTCGTCATTGTAAATTGAGTTGTCTATACCGCGAAAATGAAAGGAGTGTGACGATCTCCAAAGCAGTGAATACAATTGCATTTAAACGCTAAATGCTTTGTTCGTATTTTAGTAATAGTCAAACTTGGAAATTTTAATAAAATAAGTTTGACTCTTTGCACGTTACGATTACGTTATGCGCTGGCCATATATGCATGTCAACCGCCGCCGGAGAATACCGGGAAACATATTCCTAAAATGGCCGGTAACATTACTATATTAAGCCATGTTACTATGACCGTATTCCTGCCGTAGTGTCGTAAACAGGCTATAATTTCGAAACCAAGTCATTTCGCTCAACTTTGACTTCGTTCTTAAATCGGCAATATGCAAATGTTCAAAACAAAATAAATCGAAAAATTTGCATGGGCCATTAATGAATTAACAGATTATTGTCGCAACAATAATAATACGCTATGGGTAATATTGTCCAAAATTTCTGTGGTAATTTTAACTACGGGTGCGTTCTACATGGCACATAAAAGCGCTCACCCTTACACTACAACCGTGACGTCACCGAATTCCCGAGCTCTACGTCATCGTTCCGCGCTCACGAACGCTCGAACGAAATAGGTAGTGCAGCTTAGGCGTTTGTGATATCTTATCACGCAGCGACAGTAGCCAATTAATATATTACGAAAGTTTACAAGTTTTACTATTGTAAGCAAAACATCGTATTGATTCAATATAATTAATTCAATACAATATTCACATTTTAAAATGACATGTTGATTTCTGTGACCCTTATGGATGTAAATATAATGTCACAGCACTGTTGCACACCCATAATAATCAACCCTAAATCATTTGAATTATCCATTATATTGTAAAACGTTGGCAAAATAATAATTGTAAAAAATATTCACAAAAACAAACCAAATTTGTGTATCGTCTTATCAATTTCATTTTTGATAACAATAAACACGGTCTAAGCGCTCATAGTAGGGTTCACGCACGTTCCACTTGGAGCGTACCTAAGCAAAGCGATTGTATGCGTCTGTTTGCTAGTGGAACGGTTCGTAATCATGAGCGTGAGCGCTGTAATGGCACCCGAGACAGGGAGATTTTCATATTTTTTATAAGAACCTTTGAGGCCGCTTTTTGGCGACTCGTGCAACCATTCTATCTATAACCGTGGTTCAATCATTGTTACCAGCACGAATTAAACTTATACATTAAGATATACAAACTTAAAATTGTTTTTCCTTCTTTTTCACATATGTGACCTTAATTGGTTGGGACAGTCAAGTCCTCCAAGTTGGGGGTTGAGCGTAGAGCTAACAACCCTACCTCGTTAAAATACACATTGTTACGATTCAACCAAAATCGCCTCGGATAAAAAATGTGGAGCTAAAGGACTTCTTGATAGGAACCTGGAACATAAGATCGTTGTATAGGGCCGGACGTCTGACAATAATGATACCGAATCTTGAATGATATCAACTGAATATAACTGCAATTAAAGTAACTAGATTGCCAGGACAAGGAAACCTAAAAACAAATAATTGGATCTACTTTTACAGTGGTGGACTGGATCATCAAGCAGGAGTTGGCTTTATCGTAAGCGACAAACTGCTACCTAACGTAAAACGCTTCGAAGCAATTAGTGATAGAATATGGTATCTAAAATTAAAGTGTAAATGGTACAACTTAGTTATAATCAAAGGCTATGCACCTACTGAAGATAAGAATGAGGCCGTTAAGAATGAATTCTATGAAAGACTGGAAACAGTATGTGATCTTTTACCAAGTAGTAAAGTAAAAATATTACTTGTAGAATTCAACATTAAAATAGGTCAAGAACTTTTCTTCAGTCCAACAATAGGGGAACATAGCTTATATAAAAACTCAAATAACAATGGTACAAGACTGACAGATTTTACTACGACGTGAAATATGGTAATAAATAAAGTTATTCTCCCTCATAAAAACATACACAAACAAACGTGGGTATCGCCAGATGGGCGAACGAGAAACCAGATAGATCACATAATAGTAGTAGGTAGAATTAGAAAAGATGTATAATGGATGTACGTAGCATGAGAGATAGTAGTGGAATATCATATTATTTCATTGTGAAAACTAAAGTCAGATTTAGACTATCAATAAAATGGAAAGAGCGAAAAGCACCGGCCAAAAGGGTAAACATTGAACCACTAAAGAATTCTTAGATAGCAGAACAATACAAAAATAAGTTAAGTGAAATATTGCGATCAGCTTAAGAGGAGAGCAGTATAGATGAGATGTGGGAAAAAACAGAGAAGTCAGTTAAGAAAATGGAAGAGGAAGTTCTGGGATTTCAAGGAAAACTATCTATAATGAAATGGTTTAATGAAGAATACAGGACTACCATGTTAGAAAGTGACAATGCAAGAACAAATAATACTAAGAAATCCAAGTGAAGCCAATAAACGAGTATTAGCCTTAAAACAAACAAAAGCAAAACAGATAATCAGAAAAAAAAAAGAATGTGGGAGGTCAGAATAACCTCATGTATTATTTGTTTTAGAAATAATTTACGTATTAGTAAAATATTCTATTATTTTTAGCCTACTAATTTAATTATGAATTATTGAATTTTTGAGTCATAAATTAGAAATCTTATCCATTTATATTTGTATAGTTCTTTTAAATTGATATACTTAAGAAAATGATTAAACCATGTACTAAATATTAATTAGTATTATCAATATAATATTATAATTTTTATAAATAAATAATAATTTAAAACTAATAAATAAGTATATTTGAATTAAAGTCAAAATGAGTTTATTGATATTTATAAACCATTAGACCTTTAAAATAACAATTAATAATTGACTTTCATAACAAACCTTTCTATCAAAAAACATACATACTTATATTGATTTTAATAGCAATTCTAAGGCCTTTGGTTTAAAAATAAAATATATACATATTAACAATAAATAACAATATCACTAGTAGTAACAAAAGATGTAAACGACTGTCATGTATAATATATAATTGTAGGTATACAATACTTTATAAAGGTTCTACATACCTAGGAAAAAAAGTCAGTCAGTTTTTTATGTTTTAGTATTGAATATTTTTAACTATAAACCAATACCTATTAATAGGGAATTTCAATTAAATATTTCACATTTTTTTTTGAAATTGATATTAATATATTTCAATATATTTTATTTTTGATGGGTGTGTGAAAATTTTCCAAATTGTTTAAAATGGCACGATCAGTGGAAATAGATGACAATAAATCTTTGTACAATGATCTTAGAAACTTATACAAAGAAAATACTACCTATTTTACAAATAATGAAGGAAATTGTTCAACTGCTATAGCAAATTCTTTTGAACAATTATTTGAAAATATTGGCATTATAGAGCCTTTAGTTGAAGAATTATGTAATGTATGCCATTTGTATGATTTTGATTCGTCTATACCGGGTAATGGGTATCGAAGTTATGTGAGAGTTGTTGATTCATTTATTGCTCATTGTATTAAAGTTTGCAATCAAATAGCTACCAATTGTTATTCTTTTTTCTTCCGTAAATCAATACACCAAGTATAAATTGTATCCATATAATATTGCAATTAATATGAAAATGTTTACAGGGAAATTGAACCATGAAACCAAGTGATGAGTGGATTGGTATTATGTTTAGAAAATATGTCTTCTGATTGGTTGGAGTGAACCAGGCATGTTATTTTCCGGAAACAATACTGCGGTTTTGGAGCTTATGATGAAAATTGAACCATCTAAACTTTACCCTTTTTATGGCCGCTGTTTGGCTTTTCAAGTAAATATTTTAAATATAATAATTTAATGTTATTTTATTTTTTTGATAACATTTGCTTTTATTTTCAATTTATTACATTACATGTCACTATAAAATATAAATATATTTAAAAAGTTAAATTTATTAATATTTGATAATATAAGTTTTAAAAATAAATGTATGAATTTAGGTTCTTTTTATAAAATATACTATTTTTAAATTTAATTAAAAATAATTGCATTAAGGGGAGAAGTGGAGTATCATATTTTGTGTGACATCACAGCACCCAGCATTTTTAGTTAAAGTTAAAGTTAGTATCACCACAGGATACTCTTTAAATGTTATGAAAAATCTAAGTATTTGAAAATATCCACTATAACTACACTTAAAAATTCCAAAGATTATAATTTGAATGTATGCAAAATTTAACTAAAAAAATGACCGGGATGACCGCTGAGTGAATCACCCTGGATATACATAAAAAAAAAACATTTTTCTGTAGTTTGCATTTTTATAATAATTTTCTATTAGATATATATAGGTATATTTTAGAAAAAAAATAAGTAAATTTAATACATTTAACTCGATTTTAAGCCCATTTTGATCATTAATATTTCCATACGGTTTTTTTTTTTTTAATATAGACTAGTACACATAATTAATTTATATTTACAAAATTATTACTTTTTTATTTTCAGTGATAGTGAGGATGCTTTAAATGAAGAAGTAGAAGAGAAATCCTTACCAATGGATTTGCCTGTTATCAGATGACCCATTTTTGTCACCATACTTTGCTAATGATAATCTTTTTAAGCATTTTCCTCCTTTTCATATTGTGGTAATTAAGAAACAAAATAAATTGGTAAAATATTTATTTTATTGAAACTTTGATTGTATAATATACTATTTTTATAATTTTTTTTTACTTGTAGTGAATAGAATTAATTAACTAAAATACAAATTATAAAAATAATATGTATAACTAATAAAATAACAAAATAGATATTGTATATTTTTTTTAAAATCAACTTAATATAATCAAATTATTATTTATTAAACAATTGACAATTTGATTTTAGATTATACATATTATATTAATACATTTTTATTTTTATCAAAGTTGAATTCTAATAAATACAACCAAATTATTAAAATTAGTTGTTAATTGTGAAATAAAGATACTCCAATTTTAATTGTATTGCATTTTCTTTACTTAAATCGAAAAAAATAAACTATCCATTACAATAGATAATAATTATTATTTTACAATAATTTAACTTAATAACACTTATGAACTAATTACATTTTTAAGTTAACAAATTTATATAAATACAATTTACAGACAGTGTATAAGAACCAGCCAAATTTAGATGACTGTGTAATGTTTGTAAAACTATTGAAAGGACGTGGAAAAAAAAAAATATAGACATTTTAAAAGAATTAACTCATAGTTTATTAAACTTGGCTATATGAGTTTGAATTTAATACTTATTTAACATTATGATTTAATTGATATATTTATATTTATTTACAGACATGTAAAGAAGCCCATGAAGGATCAGTATTGTGTGCAGAGCGTACTACCGAATTGTTTAAAGAAATTAACAAATCTGCATTTTAATATTATTTTTGAATTAAAATTGAGAAGGTTTCCTAAATTACATGTGTTCCAAAAATTATTAAATTAATTCTATAAATTTGCATTCATGTACTTAAATACATTTTTAAGTATCAGTTAATTTTTTTTGTGTGTACTACTTTAATTATATGTTATATACAACAGTAATAAGGTATTATGGAAAAGTATTTTCAAGATTAATATAAAAATACTTAACTGAATTATCATCAACAAAAAACATTTTGAATGTGTTTATTATATACTGTAAATGTACAGTATGTATTCAATTATTATTAAAACAAAATTATAAATACAATAAACAAATGAAAAAACTATTCAGTATTTTAATCTTTTTTATTATTATTTGACAGATTTTCATTTTTTCCATTTAATGTTTTAGGCCGCAGACGCTTTTCCAATACATAAGCATCTGCAGGTTCTATTCTTTTGTAATAATGCTCTTTAGTTTCAACTATTTCAAAGCCAAATTTTTTGTAAAACTTAATGGCACTATCATTATTCAATTGAACATGTCTAAATTAAAACATGTACTTAATAAATCACTGTTATAACTAGAGAAAATAAAAATACTTACAAATAGACAGCATCAAATGTACCATCATTTTCAACATAGTTTAATATGTGTTCAACCATCATACTTCCTATGCCAAGTCTTCTGTACTGCGACAAACATCCCAGAGTCATTATATACAGTCGACGACCAACTTCTTGATCTACTCGACAACACACAGCTCCAACCACAATGTCATTATAAAATGCTAAAAATTTAAAATTAGTAAAAAAATACATATGAGGGAATATTGAACAAGATTTATTTCATAATAATGAAATTATAAAATAAAAAGTAATAGTAAATATCTACCTAATTTAGCTAGTTCTCCGGCTTCCAGAACATCTTTATAAAACTTTTCATTATACGACACAGGAAAAACCACAGTATTTAGTCGTTTAAGCTGTTTTATATTATGATGAGTAATTTCGCCCAATTCTAACTTGGCTCTGAAAAAAAGTCACATGGTTTTACTTAGTGTTTAATTATATTAATTATAAAATTAACTGTTTTTTGTTGTCTCGTGAATAATTTAATAATTGGTTAATACTTTATTAAATGTAAGTACCTGCTTGGGTTTTTTTTTTCAGAAAAATTTGAAAAATATTTAATCATGTTTCAAATTTTTCTATCATAATATATGATGGCAATAATTGGTCTGGTAGATCTCTGGCTTTTGGGACGGATCAAGGATGAAAAATAACAAAAAAACGACAAAGTCCATATCACATTTAAATGGTGAATAAAACAAGGTATGTGTATCACCGAATCTACTGTGGTGTAAAGCGCACAGCGTGGCCAACATACGCACCAAATATTTCTGTAGGCCGTATTATACCTACCTATCCCAGTCAAATTATCAATTGATAATGTATTTGTGTATCTACCGACGACTGACCAGCCGCAAATTCACACACCCACAGAAATTTAAAATATTTTAAAATAATTTTCGGAATATAGAAAAACGTATAAGGAAACTTTTGTTCGTACGCCCTCGTGTATAATAAATCCGTTATCACAATTTTGGCTTTTGAATTTTCCGACCGTTTTTCCGGACCTATCATGAATTTTGGGGACAAGGAAAAAATGTAGTGTAAAAAGTGTAGAAGTGATTAAAAACGATTTTCGATTCGTATTTTATTATCATTCAATTAAAACTGATACGACAGTTTGAATCTAATACAAATGAGTTATCTAAATTTAAAATATTTGGCCAAAAGTATGCCCTCCACATATCGCTACGAATAAAACTATCAGGGTCAATATATTATTGAGCAATAGGTATCAGTGTTTGCGCTGATCTATCAGGAACAATCTTTCCAAAAATTTTTTTAGTTGTACGACTTATGTCATCTAAAATAATGCAATACGCTATGTAATTTGTTCAACATTTAAAATATATGAAAAAATAATACATATCAAAAAACCAAACTGCATTCCATACCGGATGCCGACCAATATTATATTTGGCTCGAAACAAATGCGTTTCATTAATCTCTACGACATCATGTTCACCACCAATTTGGACATGATCGTGGTATGCGATTTTTGGTGCTACATCTCAAAAATACTCAGTAAATAAAATTATAGTTTCTGTGGAAACCTCAACCTAATATTGAAATTTTAAATGTATTTTATATGAACTTACTATTTTAATATTAATAAGTTAAATTTTAAAGCGAAGTTAATGTTAACACCATTGTATTATTCCCTAAGTCCCAGAGAAGAAGTCAATTTTTGGATTTTTTTTTATAATTTTGTGTTATGCAATATTTGTCCCCTTTAATTTTTGATCTGAATAAGATAAGAGTATGTATTTTTTAGATTCGAAGCAGAGCGAGAAATTTATTGATTTTACAATATTGATTTTTTTATGTAAACACGTTCTACCAGAAATCTTACTCCAATGTATACAATATAGCCCCTTTTCTAAAAGGAATTTTCTTGTGTAGTATTTTAAGGACGTCATCTATTGCTTTTTCAAAACCATTTTTACAATAATTGGAAAAAACCATACAAAGACGAAAAATGAAATTTTATTGTAATTCGAATAAAAATATTCGTAAGGAAGGACTTTTGGAAATTTTGACACAAAACTTATATTTGTTTTTTCTATACGTGATCAAATTTTCAAAATTATTTTAGTCATTTTAAAGCTATTTATAACAATTTTAATTTTGTGAATATTTTAAGATATTGTATTATTACTTTATTAATTCATACTTTATTGTACTGGTACTGTAGATATTATATTTACTTCTTGTTGGATGGTTGTAGTATTTACTTTTGCGACCCACAAATATATCATCTGAGTGATTTTATTGCAACCGAGTTCCACAGACATGTGCACATACTCTAAAAATTATTTTTGGTAGGGTTAACCTTATGGCCATTTCGACATTTGAACCTGCACCCTAGTTTACGTTCAAAGTCATTGTCTCTATATAATAGTTCACCACAATGGCATTCGGGAGTTGTACCCTCGTCAGGAATTACGCCACAATGTTCAAATAAAATTTGCCCCTGCAGTCTTCCTGCCGACCTCCGATCGTATTCACTAAAGTCAGGACTCAAAAACGCCCCCAAAGAAAATACCGTCAGGCGGTTTGGCTGAAGTAGAGCGTTTAAATTCATTTTGAAATGTTAAAACTAAATATTTAGAGAGCAGAAAAAAGGAACAGCTCGTTGTCACTTGTCAGAAGACTGATACGATTTATGATACAAAAAAAAAATTTCCTACGAAAATCGGTCAGAAAATGCGAAAATTAAAAGTTGACCGCTGATTCTTTAACAATATAGACACACGAAGAAAAGTTTCCTCATTCGTTTTTCGATGTTTCGACATTTTTTTCCCGACCCAAAAGCCATGATTTTGATTTTTTTTTCCAGTCGAAAGAAGTGGCGCGTTTTCAAGGAGGAACAATTAAATGGAAAATCTCATTTACAATAAAAATTAATTAGGTAGGTATACAAATAAATACATTAAAATATTATAAATCATATAGTTTTAACAACTTTTTGTCCTTAAATCTTACTCCGATTATTATATATAGGTACCTCCGTATAGGTACCTATATTTTGGGTTTTTGAGTTTTGTGGTTTGGATTTTTTTTTCTATGAGTGATATTACCATAACTATTTTTCATATTAAGAGCCAAGGGGACAGATATCCCCTAGTATAAACATATCAAAGGCCCATTTATAGGCCATGATTTTACTTAAAACTCTACCGACATTTATAATATCACACGGTTTTTATTTTTATTAAGTTAGACCACTAAATATTATCTATTCTTCGTGGTTTTCGTGACATTTAATCCAACATTTCTACATTAATATCAATATCCAGATGAATGGTTAAGATCGAAAAAACTAGTTACGCCGCCGTCGAATACTCGAATATTTTTTTTAGATAGTATATGACCTATAATCACGATGTAGAGATGATCCTCTCTACACCGTGATTATAATAGTATCATCTAAATTATTTGAATACTTACTTTCCATTGATAAACTATCGGTACCCATATTATAGAAATGTTTGGTGCGTATATTGGTTACACTGCGCGCTATACAGCACGATATTTTATGATGATAGTTAAACCTTGTTTCGTACACCATTTCAATGTGATATGAACTTAGTCGTTTTTTCGTTTCTACTGTCTCATGCAGTAGTACACGCAGGATTTTTTTCGGTAGGGGTCTTGTTTATAATAATTTCCTAGATGGCTAGATACCAGAGAAAGGATAGCACATATTATCAGTACAGTACTATCACTATTATTGCTGAATAAATTATTTTTGATATTATTTTTGAAATTAAATTCTATTTTATTCTGAGCTATACGATATTATTTTAATGAATGTAAAACTGGATTTAAAAATATGTAGTAAAGGAAGACATTTCTGAGGGGGTTATGACTCCCCAACTCCCCCTCTTTGTACGTCACTGATCTTAGTCTTACAAATGCACATTTGCAAGTTTATTTATTATTATTATTATTATATTATAGACCGTGATTGTTCGCAGCAGTAATGTTCTATGAAAAATTGTCTCTGTAACCATATTCTGTAGTGAGTTTAGCAAATAATTAATTTAGACATAATTTTGTAAAATTTAAAATTATCATTATTTTTTGTTATAGCTGTTGGAAAATAATGTAACTAGTCGAGCATTGCCCATTGAGTATGTTAGTGGCTCGAATGAGAAATGTTATTCACTGGATTCTATTCCAAATTGAAAGAAATAGTAAGTAATCATCACATTAATTTGAAAAAGAAAAATGTTAACTATCAATTTACATCCATAAATAAATTTGTTTACAACTATATTATAAGCATTAGTAATTGTTTTTCTATGAAATGCGTTATTTTTTCAATATTCATTTAGTACTATATTGATTTAAAATAAATTCATCAATTTTATTATGTAATGTGTAATGATGCATAAAAATGAAAAAAATATATTAACCAGTTATTAAAGACAACTATTGTAATATTGTAAAAGAACCAAAATTGTTTATTTGATAAATTTCTACTAAAAAATATTAAATAATTTGTATACATATATATAATTATAAAAATCAATCTAGTTTATTTATATTATTATCAAATTGTAAATCATTATTTATTAAATTTAATAATAAACAATATTTTGTACTGTTTTTTTAATTTTGTATTTTAGCTGTTGGGAAGTTATTTAACCAGTTAAAATTCCTCAGAGCATGTGAACTGCTTGAATGAGAAATTATTGTCATTGGATTCTATTGCCTGATGCCAATTACATACTCTAAATTTCAAATTTCAATGAAAAAGTAAGACATTATGTTTATAATCTCCCTAATGATGCATTTAAAAAAAAAAATTAACTTTTAAATTTGGTTTAAATAATTTATATTACTTTGTTAAAAATAATAAAACTAATCAGTGGCGCAACCAGGATATAGTTTATTTTTTTTTTGCGAAAAATTCAATTTCTGAAGGATTTTGGTAGGGAAGAGCGAGTAAGGTTAGGTTAAGTAAGGTTTATGAGTCAAACCTTTAAATTGTTTGTTTGACTTTTATTTATAGATAATACATATTGCAAAATAATTTACTCACATTAAATATTTAAATATACCTAATTCCCAAGTCACAGTATAACAATAATAATTATTTACAGTCTAAGATTAATTCTTCGAGTAACATGTACACAATGATATAACATTGTGTTTCAAATCTGTATATAAATCGACACAACATACTTAGTACAATTCGTAAAAAAAAAAAACTCACAAACATATTTTTCGGGAATTTAAAACCTCCAAAGTCGGGGGGGGGGGCTCCTAGTTGAGCCACTGAAACTAATATTCAAAATAAAAATAATTAATTTGTATTCTAATAGTATAATATAGAAAAATACAACCAACAATAATTTAACGTATAGGAATACCTACTATTTTAATGTATAAATTAATCTGCATCAATTATTATCAAATATTTTATGAACAGTTTGTAATTTTTTTTCCAATTTTAAAAATGTATGTTTTTCCCTTAATAGTTAGGAAAATGATCAACAAGTAGTACCGTATGAAATGATAAATCTGCCAGTAATCAGTGGAATTTCATTCATTACTTGGTGAGTGTAATAAGGGCACACCTAATAATAAATGTACATTATCCATTATTTACATACTATTAGAATATCATAGTATTATCAATGTGTATGTATAAGTAAAATTTATGGATAAACACAAAATAAAAACTTGGTAATTTAATTTTGCTAAATTTAAAACACAAAATTCGATCCCATTTTTCACAGACTTCAGACTGTCAGATTAACATTGACATAAATCTTTGGAAATAGTTTAATAGAATGCTAATATCTGGTATTATTAAAAATTGTGTTTTTAGTTAATAAACACGTAATGGCTAACCGAATCTTATTTTTTTTTTTACTATAAACCATTTACAGCACTATACTTATTTTATTATTAACTAGCTGTATAACCTGGCTTCACTTGTGTGCAATTTTTTTATGTTACCTACAACTTTTTTTTATCAGTTTTTATACTACAGTTATAGTTCATATTTAAAGATGTCTTGCCCGTGTATTGTAATAACCAGAAAAATCTTATATTTTAGTATTTCAATGATAATTAGAGACAATTTTTATCGAAGAAATATTAAAATATAAATATATATCCTGTATAATATTACTATAGTATAGCTTTTTAATTGAAAAAAATGTTTTTGAACTGTTTTATGTTCTATTATTATTTATATTATTCTTATTATTAATATTGTTACTATTATTGTTATTGGGAGGCATGACTGCACAGAAATGGCGTATTGAAATTAAATTTAATGAATTTAAATTTGTTCAGCAATTAAAATTATAATGAAAGTTATCCTTTAAGGGTTAAAGTTTAGAAATTTTAATAGCTATAAACCTTCTCTGGACCATGCGAAACATTTTGCAAAAAACCTTCTTAAAATCGATCCATTCATTTTTGAGATTATAAAGAACATACAGACAAACATTTATATATATCATCATTCCATTTTTATTGTAAAATATTTGTTATATTATATAAATATTTTTTACGAAACACTTAGTAGTTTAGTAATTATTATCATCCAAATTTATAGTGCAATATTCTGGTCATTAGATTATTACATTTACTTACCACATAAAAAACAAAAGTAATCATTTTTCTCATAATTTTCAATTCTCTGTTTTTTAGGAATACAGTTTAGTGCCATAAGACAACAGGACGAACATACCACTCACTCAACACGTTCATCTTCCATCCGAGGCCGGTGTTTTCCAGAATGCATATTACGGTAGAAACACACTTAAGTTATGTCTTCAGAGTTCAACAATAGATGTCTTTTTAGTGTATCTCTATAATCATGAAAGTTGAATTCTATATTGAAATGTGATTTGCTCATAATTGTAAACGTGTAGTACAATATAAAAATTCCACAATTAAATGAATCTCTTTGTTTTGAAACATTGACAAATGGACATTGATCAAATTTTATTGTTGGAATTCCACCTTCGAAATTAGAATTTGGTTTAATTTTTTTCCGCAAGGATTCAAACTTGATTTTTATTGTCATATGGCTTTTAGGGATCCATGATGTACTACTGTTTTGTATACAAATTTATGAATACTATTATTCGATGATTTTCATTAATTAGCCATGGTACAATATCCATCGTTCTCCGACCTCTGTTTTATCCATCAACAAATTCACTGTATTACATACATTTGTAATTCAGGGGGACACTTCAATTTTCAGGGAACACACTTCGTGTCAGGGGACACATTATTTTAGGCCCTGTAACCTATGTAATGTATATTATATTGAAACAATTTGTATGAACTAGTAACTAGATTTGTGCCACTTCATTTTTCACTAAAACAATTTTCATCAAATTTGATATTAAAATTCTAATAAAAATAAATTATCACATTAAACTTAATTCTTTCTTGTTGACTATTAAGCACAACTTGTAATTAAATTCAAACATTTCTGTTTAATCTATCAATTTTATTCACAGAGTACCTACCAAATAAAAATTATTCACAAAATTAAAATGTCTATAAAAAGCTCAAAAATGTCTTAAGAGTTTCACCACCAAAAATATAAGTGTTTAACGATAAAAGAATTACTCTGTATTTACTCAACATACATACCTACTTGGCTACTCAGGTATTAGAAGTTAAAAATGTAAATTAATGTAAGATACAGTCACCCCCTCCTCCCATAACACTTTAATGTATATAAATGACTCTCATTATCAACAAAATAATTATAATCAAAATGTTACTTTACCTTCATCAGTGGAAAAAACTAATAACTACATGGATAGCTTTATATGTCATCCACCATTTACATAATTTGTATTCCACTGAGTAGTAACTATACGCATATTGACTTAGATGTTAATGTTGCTATGATATTGATCATGAGTAATTGTGGGTTATTTCTGAGTGTAGCTGCAAAATTATCTTTTCTCTGGATTTCTTTTGAATATCATCATTATGGATTAGATGATGTATTTGTATTACGGCTATTGGGTGTTTTTTCGATTTACACAACATTACTCTTTTAATATCCCAGGTATAGGCAACTCGAAAGCATGACATTCGTTTATTATTAAAACAGCTCCCTGACTCTGGTCCCCTAATTTCACACCTATAAATTATTTATTATTATTAATGCTGAAGCAGATAGTGTGTAAATTAATTAATTTAGGGTTAGTTTTATTTGCTGAATGTGCAGTAGTTCAATAGTTGAGTTAATTAGGCAGTAGTCCAATTAATTTAATTACAATTTTTTATAGAGATCTGTTACTGATGACAATGTTTCCAGTCAGATTGCAGATACTGTTTCTGCCAATGCAAATACTTTTAAAGATACAAACAATTCAAATTTAGAATTTGTAAGCACATTTCTGCAGTAAAATTAGCTTTTTTTTTCAACAATGGCTACTGTAAAAAACTTTTTTTAGTTACCGAGCTTAAAAAAACCTTATACTATACTTATAATACTTATATCTATATCTTATATATTTTCATTAGCAGCAACTGTTTTATTTTCTGTAATCCGCATTGGATCTCCAGATGTAGACAATCAAATCATAATATATATATATAACTCAGGTCGTTGTATAAATGAGTTAGGTACTTTTGTTCTTCTTGTAGTTATGTTCTTTAGTTAAGTATTATAAATACTATTATTTATAACCAATGGTAATATAGACCATTCAAACATAGACTAGATCATGTCAAAATATTTTAATACTAAATAACTAACAATCAGTATTAAGTAATAAGCTCAGAAATAAATCGAATAATGATTGCATTCATACAGTTATACATAATGCTTATGATAATGGGTTAGGTAACAATATTTTGCAAACAAAATGGCGAATGCACATACCTGCCCCTAAAATGCTCTAGATACAATAGAATACGCAACGACACGGTTTTAAAGAACGGGTTAGTTATCGGTAATACGATTTGTACACGACTGCCAAAAGTTTAAAAAGTTCTGCCAAAAGACTATTTCCAAAAGTTTAAGCACATTCATTTTGAGGACTAAAAAAAAAGTCTTGCCATCAGGATGGAGTATATAGAATATGCGACCTTAACCTTAACACCCCTCATAAAAAATTCTAGATCTGCCACTAGTATAAAAAGTGAAAAAAGCGCCCTCAGTGGAAACTTTTTATTAGGGCTTGATAATTTATGACATGAATATTATATAAATTCGCAATTTATGTTGCCCACCCGACGTGGTTTTGCTCAACAAATCGACGGTTATACGTTACAGATCTACGAGGGTACAACTCTAATACAATAAAGGCAAACTTTTTTTCTGCATTAATTAAAAAAATGATGATTTCCGAAATAAACTTTTAGCACGATAATTTTTAAAACGGTGAAATACATACGTAAGTTACCGAAAAAAATCCGGAATTCAGAGGTGCTAAACTAGATTTGTTCCATTATCTTGTTTCATAAAACACCATATGCTTCTTTTCACTTTTTCCATCAACACCTAATCCTGTGTTTAACACGCTCATGATAGTCACATATAGGTACAAAATATCCTAGGTACCTAGGTATTTACTTAAAACTCTCAATCTCGCATATAACCTCATATTTCTCGTTAACTGTCTTATACTGTTCCTCAAAACTCATACTCTGTTTTACTTCTAATTATCTTTAGTTCCTTTTCTTCAAGTGCTACTTTTTATTCCTCAAACGCATTGTTAACTTAAATATTTCAGATTTTCTCCTACCAAAGCTATGTCATCTGCAAATAACCATGCATCATGATACCTTTGATTACAATTGTCCACACACACATCCGAGATAAGTTAATATGCCAAAATTTTGTTTAGAACTCCTTATATTGGTCTTAACATTGGCTATCGACCTGATGCAACCCCATTTGGTGGCTATTACAAAAGGTAGAGGTACCACAGGAGTATTCTGATCAACTTTCACAGGGAAAATGACATTGTCTACTATAATGTGAATTCATCCACCTTACAATAGGCACAATATGCCTACTTTGATCTTCCACCAGACCAAGATACTGAGGTTATTTAAAGTCAAATGTTGATTTTATTATTACCTACGTATGTAATAAAAAAAAATTAAGTATCTACCACTCAGCGAACAAGACTTCTTGTAACATTTTAAATTCGTTTTAAAATATTGCACAACACAGCAAAAGTGAACAAGTAAAAAGGAAAATAATGCAATATATATATATTTGAACATAAATAATGGATGCATAGAAAATGTAAACTATTATGTTTTACAATAGTTTAAATTTAAAAATAGAATTCAAAGGATAAAATTTAATTTTTCAGAGGGATACCTAGGTATTATTTTCAATTTTTAATTTTCTTAAAACCACATAGAATAACTAGAAAAATTATTCTCGTTTATGTTATATTATTTACCATGTAAATACAAGGAAATAACAAAAATATATATGTAGTTACTAAAAATAAATACTTTATTCACATAAATTTAAGCAATTGTAATAAAAAAAAAAAATGAATATTAATAATAAAATAAATATGAAAAACGATTACAATATTTTTAAAATAGTAGGCACAAGTAATAATAAAAAATAATAATGAAGGAACATTAACTGTATAATTACATCCTACAAAATTTCCTGTCAAAATAAAAACAGTTTTTATTTTAGTTTTCAGTCTTTTAAGTTTTTCTTCATAACTATTTAGTAAGGTCTAACCGAAGTAATGAGTCTTTCTCTTTTCAGAACCGTGTATGATGACTGAGAAGAGCTAATATTAATGTTAGGATCAATGTTAATTTTCTTAAAACCACATAGAATAACTAGAAAAATTATTCTCGTTTATGTTATATTATTTACCATCTGGTTGTCAAAACAACACTTTTTATTCGAGTGAATTTATTATAATGCAGAGTATAGACCAATGTTAATAGTAAATACAAGGAAATAACAAAAATATATATGTAGTTACTAAAAATAAATACTTTNATTGTTACATTTAAATTCAATTTCCCGGGGGAAAATTAAATATTTTTCCTACAAAATTTCCTATCAAAATAAAAACAATTTTTTTTTTTTTAAACATTGCTTTATTGTGATTAGAAATTATGTAAGAAAAATAATTTTATAAACTTAAATCGATTTGGAAAAGATGAGTGTTCAACAATAAAAGAATAACTGTATAGTGTATAGAATAATTATACAAATATGAGTATAACTTTAAAAATAAATTAATACTAAGCATTAGTTGATACTAACCAACAAAATGTATAAGCCTAAGGTGAATAGTATTAAAGAGTAAGATCAAATTTTTAAATTCATTACCTACTATATTATCTACAGCCATAATAACCAGTTCATTTTTTTAAATTTTAAGTTAAATGCCTTTAAATTCATTTTCAAGAATATTACACAGATCATTTTCGATCAAACCTTGATTTTTAAGTTCTACCAATAAATCTTCAACAGTTTTTATTTAAGTTTTCAGTCTTTTAAGTTTTTCTTCATAACTATTTAGTGAGGTGTAACCGAAGTGATGAGTCTTTCTCTTTTCAGAAGCGTGTATGATGACTGAGAAGAGCTAATATTAATGTTAGGATCATCTAAATTCTAAGCAATACATTAGTTTTATTTTAAATTGTTTAGGTCTTTCTAAAGACATTATTTATTTACACAAAAAGGTGTGACAAAATTTAAACATTACAACTACAGAATAGATTACATTTAATAATAATTATCAGATAAATTCAATCTATTCTGTGGTTATAACGATTAGATTATTACTTACAAAAAATTTTTTTTTAGAAAAGGTGGATATTTGCCAATCTTCAGTATTGTTATTTTGTCATAGTATCTTAATGGAAGAAATAGTAGGTTTTATTAAATGTAAAATGCATCTTAAGGTACTTGTATCTAGACTTGTATACCTAGATACTTTTGAAAAAAATTACTTGTTTCTGTATCTAGATATTATTTAAATTATCCCATTACAGCACTGTACGTAGGCTTATGTATAATCTAGGTCATTTAATCGTTAGCTAACTCGAGAGTAGCAATCAGTTTATAGATTCTAACTATACAAATCAAGGGAGTCTGTATTATAGGATAATAATCAAAGATAATACATTTTATGTTTAAAATATATTTTTAAACCATTTTATTTTCAATAAATAAATATAGGTATTATTATTAATTTGTGATTTCATTAATTCACTAATATCGTGTGAGGCAGTTGAGCCTGACAAATCTTTATCTATGTTTACTAGCCAAGTATAGTACCAAGACATAGTACTAAAACAAAGTAATGATACAAATTGTATTTTATTTAACAGAAAGTGTATATTATTTTGTTATTAACGACTTGATTCGGAGTGTAACGGAGAAGCTTATGGTTTTACAAAGATATTTAATTTTTTTTTTCTGTGGACAGCCAGTTATTTTACTCCAACTTTTAATGAAATCAATTTTTCTGAGAAGGTACTTTAGAGAGGTCGTTTACATATTTTCGAAGGAATTTTCCCAGGAAATATGAAAAATTGGGAAAATTACGGGAAAACAGGAGAAAACTTAGGAAAACCAGGGTTGGTTGTTTTGGTCAATGTTTTGTGCATTAAGTACTTACCAGCACGGTTATAGAGAACTTTAAAGTGTAAATACTAGTAAATTGTTTTCCACGAAAAATTAAGAAAAGCTAATAAAATAAAGATAACTATTAAAAATCAGTAAAATACAATTTAAGACTTTTGTAGCGACTTTCGTATACCATGAAAATAATTTTTAAATTTTTTAAATATTTCGCTGGGGGCTGCAGCCCTCTCGGCCTCACCACTGGCTACGTTACTGACGTTACAGAAACGGTCACTACTAAACGGACCATCACTGCTGCTACTGCTGCTGCTGCTGCTGCTGTTGCCATGTTCTTCGGGCAAAGTATAAGCTTCAGGACCAGCAGAATTTAATACAACCCATACATATCTAACATTCATACCAGCTGGCACACACATAAACATCGTTGGCTTTGAAATTTGTCCGGGTAAACCCGGCATCTCTTCTGACAAGTAGATCATTTGTTGGGGTATAGGCATCTCTTCTGACAAGTGGATTTGTTCGGGTATAGGCATATCTTCTGACAAGTAGTGCATTTGTTCGAGTAAAGGCATCTCTTCTGAAAAATCCATTTGTTCGAGTATAGCCATTTCTTCTGGCAGGTGCATTTGTTCAGGTATAGGCATCTCTTCTGGCAGGTGCATTTGTTCAGGTATAGGCATCTCTTCTGACAGGTACTGCATTTGCTCAGGCAACAGTAAATGACTGGGAATAGGAATTTGTCCGGGTAGTGCTAGGCCAATATCATTTATTTGTACACTATACAATAGTGCATCTCCATCCACAACCAAATAGAAATCATTTATGCAAGGTATTCTGTGTTTCATTTCTGCATGAAAGACTCCGTTAAATAAAATCTAAAAAATTTTAAAAAAAAAACATGTATTTATAAATAAAGTTTTGTATAAGGTTAATATACATAACATAAACATGTTATGATAAATAGTACAGCTTATGGTAATTATAAGTAAATTAACTTTTTGACAATTTAGGTTAAAAAACAGCAAATTAAAAGTCTTCATAAAAAAATCACTGACATACTTTAAAAAATGGAAGGGCCACTGTTGTATGTCAGAAGTTCAGAATGTAGGATATAGAAGGGAATTTAATATACATCTGTATACAACGTTTAATCATTGCTAATGAAAACTGAGCGGAGTTCAGTTGTACATGGTTTAAAAGATTATAATATTTACGATTTTGTCAAAATTGTAAAATCCAATTCTTATTGAAAAAAAAATACATCAAAATAATTTTTTTCATGTTGACCACTAATTACAACTTATAATGAAACTTTTATTAAATTTACAAAACTTTCTCTTTGGTCTAACAATTTTATCTACTGAGTACCTACCGAATAAAAATAACGCAAAAAACTTGCTAAATTAAAATATCTAGAAAAGGCAAATATAAGTTATCTGCCTAAATTTTGATTCTCTATGAACATATTGAATTGAATTAAAAAAAAAAAAAAAAAAAAACCAAAATTAAAAATAATAAAATTATTATTTTCGTAAATTTAGAAAATTATAAAAAGAGGAGTTCATTTATTCACAACAATTACTAAATATTTACTTATAAAACAAATAAATTTCAGATACAAATGTGTTTTTATTTTTTAATTTAAACCAGGAATTCTCAAACTTTTTTTTCTTATGGACCATCTATGAATACTATCGAGTATCATTTGTGACTAAAATCTGAACTGTTATAAATGTGAATTAATTTGTTTCAAAATCATAAGACAGTAGAATACTACAAAATAATAATATTATTTATAAAGTCTTCTAAAAATTAGCCTTCACTTTCAGACTAACTTGTATGAGTCAATCAAAATATAATTTTTTTAAAATTATTATTAAACATAATTTACACGAAACATGATATAGTATTTGAACTGTTGAAAATAATATTTATTTATTTGATTACCACCACTACTTACAGCAATCACAGTTTGAGAACCACTGGTTTAAATGTATAATTTTATATCGTCAACATTATGATCTCCTTGCTTTATATACAATTGACCCACTCATCTATTTTTTACAAATATAAAGTTATGATCTAGTCACTAAAAAAATTAGGTAAGTCACGAAAGGTTAGTGCATAATGTATCCCAGTCAGCTTTAGCACGAGTAAAATATTATTATAAAAAAACTTAACCAAAAACCAAAATAAATACCGTTGAGCATACCTCCAATAAAAGGTACCTACCTAAAATGTGAGCTAGCATTTGTAAATATTTGTGTTATACAACACAGTACATGACTAATAGGAGGGTTAAAGATATAGATACCCGATTTTATAACTTAACTTACTTTATAATTATTTACATCACATATTATATCCAAATTAAATGGCTGCCCTCTAACCAAACTCACGGGTGGACCTTGAGTTTCTTCTAAACCCCAAATTTGTGCCATCATACTGTTTCTGATAATCAAGTTACGGTTGAAGTCTAAAGCAATATACAAGGCAACATCGTCTCTAGGTTCGACCTCTGAGTCAGTTTGAAAATAGATACAGATCCTAAACAAAAATGAATTGCATAAAAAGTGTGCAAAAAAAAACTATATTTGGTTTAATAATATTCACTTGTTAGAAGTCCAAAATGATGATCCATGGATGCGAACCACAGAGCCCTCTTCTGAACCACTCAGGACCGCGCCCATAAATGGCATGATCTAAGCAAATATAAAATATTTTCGTATCAAGTATATAATATAATTATTAATAATCGTACCGTCTTCTCAGTATAGGTACCGTAGTTACTTACCGGGTTGAGGAACCGAGCTTGGGCCATCTCGTGATATATCTGTGGACGCAAATGTAAAACGACGACAGTCAGAAAACAGGAAATGTAATGCGATTCGAGAATTTCTGTAGTTTATTATTTGTGGCCAGTGTTATTCTGGACCGAACGGACGTGACCAAAAATGAGTGAACACTGCAAAATGGCCAACCGTATTACACGGCGTCACGTCGTCTCACACAAACACACGGACCCCGAAGCACTACGCATCTGCGCAACAAATACTGTAACCATGGCAAAATAAATATGTTTTGGCGGTAAAATAACACAACCGGAGATATCTGACGAACTGCAGTGGATGCGGTGTGAAAGTCTGGACGAGAACATACACCGGTGTGATCATAATTATTTGTTTTGTCATGACGTACATGATTATCCACAATCCTATATTATATTCCTATTGCCGCACTTACTATTTTATTGTGTAGTTTGAGTATTATGTTGTTGAACGTTCAAAACTTGATTTTAAAAACGTACCGCAGGAAGACATTTCGCGGAAAAGGGGGTGTGGTGTTGACCTCCGCAACTACGTCTCTGCGCGAGCCACTGTCTTCACCTCGCACTATACATCTAAATATAGCAATTGTTTCATTGTTCAATATATAAGCAATGGTCAATCGTTTGACTCGGTACGTACAGATACGCATTAGATTGGCCATCATCACTTATATTATTCCCGTGAAGCGCGAGGCCCTACCGCGGGTGCCCAGTTTGCCCACCCGCTTCGGCCAGCAATATATAAATTGGATCTAAACGCCCGGAAGATTGATTTAAATCGTCTTCTTTTTGCGGTAAAACTCACGTACGATTTTGAATTTTGAAAAAATATTTTACAATTAAATTTTCTGAAATAACATTGTGTAATAGTGCTATAAACGTTTTGAATATGTTTCACTGTCAACATTTTACTTCAAAATCCAATCACGGAATTGTAGCGGAAAAACAGAAAAGACCGCTATGAAGTTATTT